TTTTTTTATCAAAAAACTTTATTTATGCGAGTACTATTTATTGTTGGCAAGAAAAAATTTTGTGGCTCTTTAAAAACTTTGAAATTTTGTAAATTGTAATTTTGGCTCTTCCGACTCAAAAGGTTGCCGACCCCTGGGTTAGGTTAGGTTAGAACGTGCATCCCACTGTTTTCTTTCTTCTATTTGCTGGAATCAGACGAGCCGCCATTTTAGTCACCATAGGTAACATTAACCCCTTCATTCCCGATCATTAATTAAATTAATATTAGATTAATATTAAAATACATTAAAAATACTTAAAACTGAAAAAAAAACGAAAGAAATGCGTTAATCTTGAAGAAAAAGCTTCAAATTTTATTTTCCTTTGTCTCGCCTTTCTGTGAAATTTAACACCGATGAGTCATTGTTTACACAGCTGGGTGACCTTGAACACAGCTGGAGTCGGATTTCCCGGGACATTCTCATATACACCGCGGGAGGTCAAGGGTTTAAAGCAGGGTGAGTTCGACCGACACGTATATTTTTAAATATTTTTTAAAAATTAAAAATTTTATTGCGATTTCCGACTCCCCTAATTAATTAATTTTATATTAAAAAAATCGATTAATTAAAAAAATTAAAAAACTATCGGAGGTCGTTTTTGACATCAGAAACTAGCTTTAAATAACTTTACCGAAGGAAAATTCGTGCACTACAACTTAGGAACCATGAAATAAGTTTGATAAAAAAACTCCCATTAAAAAACAATAGAGCCTTAATCGAGCCTTATTAACAGAGTGGCCTGCAGAAGTTTGTTGCTTTTAGAAAAGCACGTTGTAGCCCAGATATGCCACGATTTATGGATTCTACAAATGCTCACCTTCCGTTGAAATTGGAGATGACAGAAAACAACATGGCGGTCAAATTGAAGCTTTGGAAGCAAACCTTCGAATTTTACATACAAAGCCTAGTGAAATGCAGGCTGCTACGTTAATGTCAGCTATTGGACCAGCAGCAACAGTAATCTACAATACATTTTATTTAACAGAGGTAGAGCGGAATAACTGAATGCCATTAACACTAAATAAAGGCGGCCAAGGTGGCAGCCCACCGCTCTGGGGGACCCGGGCTCGAATCCGAACGGGTCGAAAAAACCCCAGGAATTTTTCGGGGGGTGATCCGTTCGGATATGTCGGGCCCCGTCCCTCACCACCCGGCAGCCCCATTGTGGGCCTGGCCGAACCCATAATGGGCTTCAAAAAGAGGCTTTCTTAGTGCCGACAGAGCGGAAAGAGTTAAAAAAAGCTCTAAATAAAGACACTGATATTTGTTGTACAAGTGAAGAGGCTACTAATCAACTAAAGGAAATGAATGTGGCTTCCGATACTAACGACAAAGAAATAATGCTTATTAAGAATTTCTAAACGATAATTTTAAGTAAATTGAATAATCAGGCGCTTACACAAGCTCCGTAAAAAAATTAATAAGAGAGACGAGCAATTATTTATAGTGACATGGTCACAATGCCAGGCTGCAATTTTTAATCTATTTAATATAAAATATATGCTCTCCACCTCAAATTAGTAGTAGCTTGCCCCTGTTAATCATACTTTTCCGTTAGCAATAGAGTCGTGCGGGTCATCTATTAACTGCTTTCAGGAGAAAAGTTTAAAATTGAAATAACGTGACTTCCGGTGTGCATCGGAAGTTCGTATATAGTTAACTGGGACCTCCTGCCCCTAAACTTTCCACATCTGGTCTCGTCTTTCGTCCATCTAACTCCGTTCTCGAGATTAAGGAAAGACGGACGGACGGACGACTGTGGAAATTATAGGTGTACAAGTTTTTCAAATTGCAGCCTAAAAAGTTTTTAATAAAATATCATAACAGATGGCGCTACCACAATTTTAAATTGTTTACGGAAAGTGGATTTTTTTTAAACGACATACCCGATCTTTACGTCACCAGAGCAGGTGGAGTTTACAAGAAAAAGCACGCTACTTTAATTTGTAATTAGAAAGTATAAGGCTTGAAAAACAATAACCAATAGCTTTATTCGAAGGAAATAAAAGGATAGAATAACTCTTAGGTCATTTTATTGTATACGAGGTATATATTTATATACTGCACTTGTATTTAAAAACGAAGAAAGTCACTTAGTTCAATGTGAAGCATCTAATAACACATACTTACCACATATTTCCTATTGATCAAATTCGACAAATGAGGTCTCAATTTAAATCTTACGACCTCTGGATGTGCAGAAAACTGTAAAAATTAGAATATATTTCCACTGGATAGTGACACGTTATATCTTTACGGGAGTCAGGCAAATTTGTATTGGGGATAGCCTACAGTGTTCATTTCAAACATTTTTCTTTGGAGGAATTTTTTGGGAAAATACTTTCTTATAAGAGATTGGTTTGGGTATTGTTAGTGGGGGCCCAGGCGATTGCCCTTTTTGCCATAGGATAACGCGCCACTGCGACTGGATCGAATTATTAACCATGTTAGAGATGTTCCATCGGTCACCTGATCAGTAGTATTATCACCTTGTCTGTTATTTGGCTATATTATTTTGTGCTGTGTCATAATTTACGTCCTAAATTAATCGTCTTAACATATTTTATATATATATATAATCTATAAAGCTTCAAATACACTTTGAATGCTTATATTTACAAAAAAAAAGTTTACATTTTATCATGTGACATTTTTAACATCCTGCTTAGGTCATTGTGACGGACGTAATAACACAGCCACGTGACAACATGCAAACTTTTATTTTTTGTAAATACCGCCTATAAACGTTACAAATGAATTCGAAGGTTTTACTTTTTATGAAATATATACGTTAAGACGATTGATTTTAGGATACAAATTATCGTACAAGACAAAACGCTAATAATAGACAAGGTGATAATACTACTGGTGCTACTAGGCTAATGTTGATACAGAATAAAAATAAATTACAAATGGATAAATTAAAAGGTTAATATACTTATAAAATTGCTCAACGTCCCTAATAATTTATCAACCTTTCATACAAATCGCTGACTCCTTCAGGGTCGCAAGCAACCAGGGTGCCTAGTCTGAGTTATGTGAGTAACAACACGTAACAACACGAACGTGTTGAGAATATCACGTGGAACCAAGTCATTCCGGTGAGATCGTTTACTGAACAGGTTTGTAACACGTAATATTCCCAACGTTTTCGTGTTACTATTCGCCTAAGTGGAGAGAGACACGAACGTGTTGCTACTCATAGGGACGTTGGGAGTGTCACATGGTACCAACTTCTTCAGTGAATGGTCTCGTCGAACGAGTTGGTACCACGTTACATTAGCAACACATTCGTTTTGCTACTTGCTACTCATATGACTCGAGACTAGGCACCCAGGTTGGGAATTCCTAGTTTAAGTAATCAAAAATAATATAAATAATAACATTAACACGTGATCTCTAGCTCATTATTGATTGTTATATTAATAATATGCAAACTTATGTGAAAAAACAACTAAATATGCTGTTAAATTTTAATAAATTTCAAAATTTTTTTTAGATTTAAAATTTTCAGGAGAGGGAATTTGCTCGAAATGTTTCCATTGTGTAATCGTGCTTGAACTAATTTGAACGAGGATAAGGAATGAAACTCTGATCTGCATTATCAACGTAAAAATCATGAAGATTCATATCTGGATTTCGAATGATAGTAGGAAATCCTCCATGCACGGTCATCTCGAGTTTCTTTAAATGCAATTTTACTTCCAGGATGAAAGTATTCGTTTGTATATTTTCTAACGAATGCATTTTTACTGATAGTTATTGAATATAATCATTTTAGTTTGATTCATAAATTTGTCAGTGTTAGTTTTATTCATGTAAAATCAATATTAGTCCTTTCATTTTCAAATATTGCATTATGTGGACAAAACCTGGATTTCAGATATTAATATGTACTAAAAATTTGTATTATTTAATCGCGATAATTTTTTAAAATCTAATTAGTAAATTCGATTCTTCATACGCGAGTTTATTCTCTATTATTTTTTTCACAAATAAAATATATTATAATGTCGACGACAGGAAAATTTAGAAGGCATATCTACGAACAGACAAGTTCTGAAAATGCTGTCGGCATTATACAAGTTAAAAGATAAGACGAGGCTGTATTACCCGAAGCTATTCAACTTATTTATTATTCATCGAAGATTGGGCTCTTTCTGTAATAATCCCGTTCATAGATAATATGATTATAAATCTGTTATTCTAAAAATTTTCGTTTAATTTAACTTAAGATCAGTAAGAATAATTTACAAGTTTTTTTTTTTTTATACAGTATACCCTACTAAATCTTTTTTAAGCATAAGTTTAATTAATAATTAGTATAAAAATATTTGGTAATAAAACATACAGTTTTCTTTCATTTTTAAATTAATGTGATAAATATAAAAAATGAATTTGAGTTTAATTCAAATTGTAAAAATAGTTATGTCTAAAGAAATAATAATGAATGACAAACTGATACAAATCTTAAAGAAATCCATAAAGCCAAACAAGAAGTATATGTAGGACCAATGCAAAATTTGGATATGATAATTTGATTTTAACTCATCCAGGCTGAAGGAGAGTATGCTCTACTCACACTGATTAATACTGGAGTGGAAATATAGCACAAAATCTTCTTTGAAGTACCTTCTGAACAATTCTCTAGTAGCTTATTATTTTGATAATGAGTAATGTTTTCGATCCTCAGCTGGATCATCATCAGGTTGAACATAAACATTGCATTTTAAAAATGTTCCATCAATCGAATGCTTTCTATTAATCAAATGCTAGGTTAAATGTCATTGTTATAAAGCAGGATACAAGATACTAAACTCATTTCAAATGCAATGTTTATGTTCAACCTGAAGAAAATACAGCTAAGGATCAAAAAAGTTAATCGTTATCAAAATAATAAGCTACTGGAGAATTGTTTAGAAGGTACTTCAAAGAAGGTTTGGTGCTATGAAGGANGAATAATTTACAAGTTTTTTTTTTTATACAGTATACCCTACTAAATCTTTTTTAAGCATAAGTTTATATATTAATGTATAAACTTATGTATATTTTATATGTAAACTTATGTATTGAAACTGTGTGTAGGCTATATTTTATGTAACAGATTTTAAATCTAAAATATTGAAATAACGGATTACTTCAGAACGTTTAAAATACATTTATGTTTTTGATAGACTATATGTCGCGTTATGTCATTCATATGACACACAACTTTAAATTTCAAATATTCATATAATAAATTAAAATTTAAGTTTTCTAGACGTTGATATTATTTTATTCGTAAATATTCAGTTTGACCTAATTCCCATTCACGATATTATTCGATAGAAATCAAATCGGAATCTCTTCGATCAGATTACTGGGATGACGATTTAATGCTAATATTCCGGAAAAAAAATATTAAAAAATAATAATAAAGTAAATGACTCGATACAGGATATTGTTTTAAATTACAATGATATATATATATTTTATATTTTAAGATAAGAAGCACTTTTTAAAATGATTTTATTATATGAATTCTATTAATAAAACAAAGATGTTTATAGATTTTCATTTTGTATAGTGTAAACCTGTATAATTTATTAAGAATAATTTATTTGTTAAGGAAAACAACTATTTAAAGTTATTTTAATAATTATTTTTTTAATTAATTTAGCATTCGGAATGAGCTCAATTTCCTTATATGTAAATACCAATTGCGTTTGCGACACACAAAAAAAATTCCTATTGTATTGTAGCGTATTATTAGCCGAAAATAAAGTATTATATAACTTTTCTCAATGTTCAATTTATTTAATGATTACTTATGTTCTATCGGAATATAATATATATATATAATACCGTATACATAAAAACAAACAGAAGTTTATATCTAGGACGTATTGATTATAAAACCATTAACAAACTATGATCGAAATTTACAGGATAGTGATATTAAGAACGCAATTTTTGAAATGTTTACTTATTAATTCCTGTATTTTTCACGTTATTGGATTAACTGTTAGAATTTTTATCCTCCAATAAACATCGAGGTCGAGTTAGTATGTTCAGACATTTCTAGGAGTAACATTAATCCTATTCTATCGTTACACATGCCTCGCTGGGATACGTTCAAAATATTTTATACAATGCTAAGATTTTGTTGAATTATTTTAAAATTAGAAAATGACAGGTGAGTTTTTTTTTTCTTTTGTTGTATTTGAAGTTGCGTTGATGTAAAATATGCAAAACGTGTCATTTTCTTCGTTTGCACGGATATAGAATGCGTTTTTTTTTCGCGATTTGCTGATGCATGTTAATGAAGTTGACGTTTTTCTTTCGCTTATTTAATCAAAATCTTAAAAGAAAAAAATAAAAAACAAGTTTCTCGTTTTATAGCCTTGAAGGTTTTATATAAGCTTTCTATTACTTTCGTCATATGACTTTCAGTTCAGGTGTTTGCACAGATGGATTTTACCTGACTCAATGCATTTTGTACAATGGAATTTTTATGAATATAACATTAAACTCTATGTGCATCACTTTAATATCATAACTATGTTAGAAGGTGTTGCTATAGGAGCGGAAGCATATGATTATTTTGTTGAAACATTCTATAATTTTTTTGATGGTAACTTTATATGTTAATATAATTTTTATTTGCAAAAATAATATATTTTATTTGGAATTAACTAAATCATTTGAGTTTTTTAATGCTCTTTTATATTATAAAGTTGCCTAAAATTTTATATATTTACAGATGAGCAGGAACAAAAACGACAAGAGCTGTATTTAGGTAAGTAGTACCATAATATTATAAAAAAAAAAAAGCTATAATTTTTATGCTCTATTAAGTTATGGAGACTAGGATGTGCCTCAGTGAATGAATAAATCTATCAATGAATCATAGCAAATGTCTTCTATTAGAGTCAAATTAAGTATAAATTTATCAACATTGAAGCAAATAAAATTATCAATAATAACTTAGCATAACAAGTTATTGGTATTAATTTTGTCAAGGATTTGACATTGTAAAATATAAAATAAAAATTTAATATTAATAATAAATTATAACTAAATAAATATTTATTGAGAATTTAATGTTGTGTAAATAGAATGAGATATATTTGTATAAATGACTGTATTTTAATTGTTAACTGATTTGACAATTTTTCAAAATTACAAAAAATAAAGAAGTCCTTAAGTAGGATTTTAATATGATATTTTCATTTATTAATCATACTTTAATTTTTATATTTTAAAGTATATCTACAAGATTCAGTCAGTTGTTTAAAATGTTAAATTACTATTTGATAAATAAATGTTAATAATTTGTAAAATGCTTAAATATCTTTTATAATAAATATGCATAAATTTTTCATAAAATTACAAGAATTTAATTTTTATTGAAGATACTTATCATGTATTAAACTTATTTTATTTTATATAAGAAAAATTTGAGCATTTTAAAAATTCATTTATTAAAAATTGTATATATTTTGGACTTGAATATTTTGTATGAATTAAATAAATATATATTATTTATATAATAGCTTGTAAATACTTTTAACACTATAATTTTTTCACAAATATTACTAGTCTTAGTAGTATTAAAAATTAATGTGTTAAATGAATAAATATATATTTATTTATTCATTTAACACTATATATATTGGGTTTTGTGCTTAGCTTACATATTCTTATGGATTATTAATCAAAAATGATTTTAACTATTTAATTATTATTTAGAAGTATAAAATATATACAGCTGTGTAGGTAACCTTTATATAACATAATAGTTAGGTTCCCATAAAATCTCATGTCATGCAAAATTATTGTTTGTGACTAAGAATCAATACAATAAAGAGGGTTATGTTTCAAAATCTAACAAAAAAATGTTATTTTATTTTTATAACTATCAATAATATAATTTTTTTTTAAGTAACAATAACTAATATATGTTAAATAATAAACAAACATATGGTGCTGTATATCAGATAATGTATTTCATTTAATTTTATTTTTCTTCATTGCTACTAAGCACAGTCAAACAAGAATGTTTTCTCTGTTGCAGAGTGTCTTTACTTTCTTAACTTTCTTCTGCAGCATCTACATTTTTTGTACCTTCTCCTTTCTTTAAAAGGTGATAATCTGGGTTTACTTTTGTTTGATAAATCTTTGTAAAATTTACCAGTAAGCTGGAACAGTTGACAATTGACATAAACATAGACAGATACTGTATGTACTTACTCTAGCAGGTAGCATTTAATGGAATTACAAATATTTTTGGCAGCATTGAGTGGCCTCCCTCACATAAAAATGCCATTCCGCAGATAGAACAAGGATGAACATATTCAAAATTTTAAATGTTTAAAGTTTGTAATTCCATTAAATACTGTCTGCTGGAGTAAATACAATATGTACAGTGTTTGTTTCTGTTAATATCATAAGATCTTTGTAAATTTTATGGTAAGGAGTTTAGAATTTTCAAAGCTTCTTTTTGAACATTGTATTCTTTTTAACTGCAGGTCCTATATTCAAAAATTAAGATTTTAATTGTTTGGCTAAGGTTATTCCTTCCCAAATATTTTTAGTGTAAAATTTAAGGTTTCAGAATCTTCATTCTTTGAATTGAATTGGCTTATTTCTGATATCATTTCTATCAAATCCACTTTGCCAGCTTCTTTTTCTGCCAGTAATTTTTGAACATCATTTATTTATAATATTTTAATGTTCCACTCCTAGAACTTAGCAAGTTCCATTGTTGCACTGATTCTGTTTTTTTTTTGGTTCAACCATATTTCCCGAATGAACTGACTCTACTATAATTTTTTAAACACACATTTAATGTTGAGGCTTTACTTCTTTGAGCAATAAAGCTGATTCTGAATAGTTCAAAATGAAAAAATGCTTTAAGCCTCTATCACTTCAATAATTCTATTCAGAATCAATTTCTTTTAATAATCATTGTAATGATTCTCTGATGTAGTGAATGTAGCAAGTCACAATTTTTAATAGTTTCAAATAAGTACAAGTTCAATAACATGAAACCTAACATGGGAATTTCCTAATAAAATAGAATAGAAGTTTCTCAATAATACAATTTTCTGCATTTCATTTAGCAACTTAACAGTGGAGACAAAAAAAAGAGTGAAGAATGAAAATTATACAAATGCTATGTTGTGTGTTCATTAAGTTCTTGAAGCATTCTTAATAAAAGAAACATGAAACAGCCTGCACAGCTAGATAAAACTACCCTAAAGCATTTGAGAAAGGATTGTCTGTAGTATGCATTTATCCTTTTAAAATTAACATATAGGAATTATAATTTGTTCATTTCTAGATTTCTAGTTCATTTCTTTTATTTTAAATTTAAAAATACCAAAATTATGCTGATGGTTGACTTTTCTTTTTCCTTTTCCTACATTGTCTTTTTTTTATCTCTAATATCTCAACAAGAAATCTCTAAAATTAAACAAGTATATGTAGTTTATATACATAGTTTTATATAATTTTTAAAATCAAATGCATTTTCAAAAGCCTCTGCATTTACAATAGATTTTTAATGTTCAATATAGCTAACATACAAATACAATTACAATATTTTAATAAAAATATATCTAACAAAGCTGTAAAATAAAAGTCTAAATTTTGCAATATAAAAGTAGCACAGAATGAATTTAAATTTTCTTTGAACATTATTTATATGTTACACAGGTATGCAAAACTTAAGCAACAATGTAATTTTTAAGCAGACAGCCATGAAATTGTAGAGAAGGGCTTGTTGCGATCAGTACAATGAACACTCAACTCAGTAGAAAGGTGATTCGTATTCAGGAAGAAGACATCATAGGTTATATGAGAGCATGTAGAACATGTGCAGTAAGCACATGCAGTGCAAGACTACAATAAGAAGGAGGCTTTGATTCCATACTGTATGCATTCTATTCATTTTTGTGCTAGTATGCTTTCTTCATCCTTTAAGTACAAAATACTCTCTCTGTATTCAGGATTTCATGTCTCCCAAATGGTTTCTTATAGAGTTACGACAAAAAAAAAATGTTGCTTAAGTTTTGCACACCAGTGTATAATTTAAAATATAAATTGAAAGTCTAGATGATAAAAGAAGTAAAACTGTGATCAGAATGATATAAAACTATTTAATTCTTCATGTATGAAATTATGATGATGACTTTTTCAGTTTCAACTCCTCAGAAAGTACATAACTGTCCACAGTGACATGTACACATGTACTCTACATAGATATGCAAAAAATTTAATTTTCTTTGAATATATCCAGATTTTATATGCATGTAGCATCTTAGAATAACATGAGAATCTTAACTGAATTTTGTTGAGATTTGGTAATAATTTTGTTAAAACTTGAAACAATAATTGTGATTTCTTTGACTCCAAAAATAAATTTTTTAGAAAATCTGAAAAATCTTAACCCATCTTAAAATTTTGAATAATTGATGACTTTGTTGTTGAGATTCTTCAAATGGATTTTTATGATCCATATAAAATTGGATTTAGTAAGAAATTCAATAAAATTTTTTATCATCTGTTATATTGGATACAATTAGGATGAACTGTTAAAATTGTTAGAGTTTGGACAAAAAATACTTTTATATTAAAACTGATGTTTTTATCAATCTTAGTTTAATATGACTTTTCATAAATTATAGAAGGTTTATAAGTGATTATAAAATATATAAAAATTTATTTAATCTATGAAGATACTTTTTCAAAGCAAATCTTGAATATCCAACAGTTAAACTTTTTATGTAAATAAGAATCATTGTAATAACAAAAATATAATTTAATTCATATATTAATAAGGAAATTTAATTACTTCACTATAATCTCTGTATAAATAATAGAATTATAAAGCTAAATAAATTAATATAATGTAATTTAAAAACTGGAATTATTATTTATTACTAGCTTTATGGGATTCCTGCAGTAAAGGAGAAGTAAGTCATACCAAACAAATAATACGTGAACTTGGTAGAGAAGCAGAATTGGTCATCAACAGTGCCCCAAATGGATGTAGCACCTTATTATTTAAGTAAGATTTTTCAATTTTTTTGTTTAAATATACTTTAAGTATAGATGTTTAATGTTTATTAGTTTTTTATTACATTTAGATATTAAATTGAATTCTTTCTAAGAATTTTGTAAAAGAAGTTCTTTCAAAATAAAATGAAAATGCTCAAGAGCTGTTTCTTTAGAAATATTTTCATTTACTAAACTAATTTAGTATACATTCTCAAAGTTTAATTATCACAAAGAAAAACATAATATAAAAGAATACAATTTATTTTAAAATGTTTTATAATTTATTTTTCATATTTATTCAGTTTTTTTAAATATTTTAAAATAAATTTGAAAAATATTAATTTAAATCACAAGAAATAAATTATATTTATAAGTTAATTCTTTTAAAAATCTATTTCTTAATTTTTAGGAAATTATACTGGAAAAGTGTTCAGTGTAATGAATGCAATAATCAAAAAACTAATTTTTCATTCTTTAAATTGAGGATTTTCTCTTTGAAATTTTTAAAACTTTGAAATTATCTTTGAAATTTCTTTTCTTAGTCTTCAATATTGATATTTGAATCCAATCTACATAATTTCTTTTATTATATCTTAGAAAAACAATGTCAATGATTTAGAATAATATAAAATTTGTCAATTTTATATTATTAATTCTTTGGAGTTTTCTATGGAGTTTTCTTTCCTTGGAGTCTATGGAGTCTTATGGAGGTTTCTATGGAGTTTTCTTTGGAGTTTGTATATCTACAGCACAGCAAAAAAATGATAACTTTACAATAGCAGAAACAATTAAAATTTAAATAGAAAATAAAGTCCCTAAATTAAGGGAAGCAGAATAATTATCGTCAACTTAGAAATAGCTTCACAAAAAATACTAACTATATTAATATGTGTTATTTCTTTTAATTCAAATTATATTTTTTAAATTAAGTAAAAAAAAAAGCACTTAAAGACTTATTCAAAATATTGTACAATATTTCTACTAATTTTGAATTTAAAGAATTTATTAAATTATAATCTGCTTTTGCTAGTGACAATTAAGCATAAGTTTAATTAATAATTAGTATAAAAATATTTGGTAATAAAACATACAGTTTTCTTTCATTTTTAAATTAATGTGATAAATATAAAAAATGAATTTGAGTTTAATTCAAATTGTAAAAATAGTTATGTCTAAAGAAATAATAATGAATGACAAACTGATACAAATCTTAAAGAAATCCATAAAGCCAAACAAGAAGTATATGTAGGACCAATGCAAAATTTGGATATGATAATTTGATTTTAACTCATCCAGGCTGAAGGAGAGTATGCTCTACTCACACTGATTAATACTGGAGTGGAAATATAGCACAAAATCTTCTTTGAAGTACCTTCTGAACAATTCTCTAGTAGCTTATTATTTTGATAATGAGTAATGTTTTCGATCCTCAGCTGGATCATCATCAGGTTGAACATAAACATTGCATTTTAAAAATGTTCCATCAATCGAATGCTTTCTATTAATCAAATGCTAGGTTAAATGTCATTGTTATAAAGCAGGATACAAGATACTAAACTCATTTCAAATGCAATGTTTATGTTCAACCTGAAGAAAATACAGCTAAGGATCAAAAAAGTTAATCGTTATCAAAATAATAAGCTACTGGAGAATTGTTTAGAAGGTACTTCAAAGAAGGTTTGGTGCTATGAAGGAGAGTAATAAAATACTAACTTTTAACTTCAGCTGCTTTATTATGATTTGATTAAAAATGTGTTTAGAATTAAAAATGACTTGGTTATGAAATACTGAATTTTATATTTTTGTTTTTTTTNGATATGATTTTCATTACTCCATTAGCAGCTTGAGACTTCTTGATATATCTTTCATAGCTAAGATTGTGCCTACTGTAGCCATACTGCCTAGCAACATCAGACATCATGTGCCCACTTTCTACTTTCGCTATTATCTCTTACTTGGTTTCTATGGTGAGCGCAGTTCTTGACACTCCTCTTTTTAGGTTCCATAATATTATCAGTTTTTTTTAAATAAAAAGTTCAGAAAAACACCAAAATTCAGAGAACAGAAATCAACTAGTCCCCAAAAAATTATTTAAATGCAAGGCCCGGATGAAATTCGAAATTTGGTATTAAAACGTTAACGAATATCCGATAGGCCGGTTAAACTTTCACCTTTCGTAAGTTAAACGTTCACCTTTCGACGCAAAACTTAACAAGTGTCCGTCAAACAGTCTCATGAAGACTAAAAAATTATTTGTCAGAAAGGTAAACAAAAAGCTGGAATTACAAGGGAGAGTTTCAAAATTTGGAGGAATACTATCTGATCAGTATTGGGTTGAGCGTCGATGTTGACGTCTCTTGCGTTCCGAAAGGTTTGAAATTGTTACCTGAAGACAAGGGAAAATCAGTTGGTATTCGTTATTTTCCATTGCTTCTTTTTATGTTTGTTCAGTAAAGTGTTTGTTGTCCGATCATAAAAATCTTTTGCGAAAGTGTTGGTTATCTAATTTGTTCGCTATCCAAACTGTTTGTTAACCGATCACTCACTGTATATCTATTTTAAGAAACAAGTGATACTAGATGTAATAATAAATTTAAATATTAGTTCTTATAAGTAATAAATATATTATACTTATTTATATTATAGTAATATATTTTTTTCAAATTTTACCATAAATAATAGTACTTTTGGAATTTTAGAGCTTGTGAAGAAGGACAAAAAGATATGGTTAAATTTTTGCTTGACAAAGGAGCAGATGGAAGAATTCACCCCGTGACAAAATATTCACCTTTATATATAGCATGTTATTATGGGCGAAAAGATATTGTTGAAATTATTCTAAAGGTATTGCTTAATGTTCATTACATATTTTATATTTTTATATATAATACCTATGAAATTTATTTTTTCTTAATTAAAATATAATTAAGGAAAAAACCACGAATTACATTAGTGCCTTCAACACAAGCATTTGAAAAAAAATCTGTGTACAGGTATACCTTGAGTTACGTTGTTCTTGATTATACATCGTTTGTCAAAAAAATATATGGAAAAATAAAAATCAAGTTTAAGTCATTTTATTTGACTTCTGCCCGCCACAAATATTGAAATTGCAATATCACTAGAAAAAGAACATAAAATCATATTAAAATACATACACTTACAGTAAATGTTAATATAATCATCATAAATTGTAGAGAATGAAATATGAAAACATCTGTGACTCTGTGTTGTCTTATTTAGTGGTCTTTAAGAGCTCAATATTGGCATTTTCCACGGTAGTTTCAATATCTACTGTTTTACGTCATCATCAGCACCACTCGTTATTATTGGTAAATTTAACATAAATTAGTTTATTGTTTACTATTGCAAAATAATTTTAATAACTGTATTTGTTATTTAACCTTACAAAATCATCTTGTNTTAGTGGTCTTTAAGAGCTCAATATTGGCATTTTCCACGGTAGTTTCAATATCTACTGTTTTACGTCATCATCAGCACCACTCGTTATTATTGGTAAATTTAACATAAATTAGTTTATTGTTTACTATTGCAAAATAATTTTAATAACTGTATTTGTTATTTAACCTTACAAAATCATCTTATTTTATAATGTCTTAGAGCAAACCACATTCACAAATAAAGAGTCTGCGATGTACTGTAAACATTGCCAAATTGTAAACATGTATATTTACAAGTCTGTACTGTATGTACCGTACATGTATTCGTAAATTTAGATTACTTTTTTCCTGTACTATATTAAAAACTAAAATTTATTTGTTTGTAAGCTTAAAATAGATTCTTATTAACCATATATTATTAAAAATGCATTTATAAATAAAATACAGAACTGGAAATGGTTATTTGTGGTTTAGCCTAGTGACAAGTAAATTTGACTTACGTCACCTCTCCTGGAACCAATTACCGACGTAAGGTGAGGTATACCTGTATAAAATCAGTTATCTTTATCACATGAAAATTTAATATGAGGGTTGATCAAAAACTAAGGTTACAAGGCTGATATTCCTGGAGTTTTGTTTGTTATAGAGAAATGAGAAGTGTGTGGTAATTCTAATATGTGCAGTTGGCAACTGTGCAGAGTTTCAGCCACCCACTACCTACAGCACTAGTTGTAGGTAAACACAAATGGCGACTCGTTTGGAAAACTGGTCTCGTGAAGAAATCCACTCAGTTATTTGATTTCTGTGGATGAAACATGTAACCGTGGCTGAAATTCACTGGCAACTAGTAGAGATTTACGGAGAGACTGTAATGTGTTGTTAGCATGTTGCAGAATGGTGTTGGAAGTTTGCGGCTAGTAGAGAAAACGTCACCAACTAGGATCACAGTGGCTGACCCAGCACGGCATCAACAGATGTCAACACAGCTCATATGGAGAAGCTGATTCAGGACAACAGGAGGATCACATTAAGGCATATGATGGTAGAATTGGGAATGTCATTCGGAAGTGTTTGTCACATGTGACCTCATACAGTCCAGAAAACCACCACGCTGTTGAAACAGTTTTGCTGGGACATCATCAACCACCCTCCCTACAGCCCGGACCTCGCTCCAAGTGATTTTCACTTGTTTCCTCACTTGAAGTAGAACCTAGCAGGACGATGATTTACTTCAGACAAGGAAGTGAAACACTTTGCAACAACTTGGCTGAACACGAAAGGACAGGATTTTTACCAGGAGGGAATTTCAAACTCATCACATGAAGTGACAACTGCCTAAATGAATATGGAGACTATGTCACCAAATAACCTGATGTATGTACTGTCAGTTGACTGTATTGGTTGTATGAAATAAAATGTACACTTTTCACTGCAGGCTTTGTAACCTTAGTTTTTGATCATCCCTTGTACTTTTTATAATAGAATTTCTGGTCTCTTAGAAAAACATGAAGTTTCTGTTTTTAATCGTTTGGATTTTATTTACCATCCTACCAGCATTTTTTTTTTTTGATTTTATCTACAATATAAATAAATTTGTAATTATTTCGTATTATAATTGAAAATATTGTGTGAGGGGCTGGCCGGGGATATGGAGTTCGTAAAACTCGTGTACTGCTTACTCGGCAACTAATCGTGAGAGTAGCCCTCGGTTGTCTAAAAGAATGGTTTTTCCATTAATGATATCGAGTGTGGAGGGACTTACAGTTACAAAGTAAAATAAGACGGAGAGAGATAATCGCGTGATCACTCTTCTCCTCGTCAGGATTCCCGACACCAGTTAATCTTATTTTAACGCGGATTAACACGCGTAACCATGGAATTGTGAGTATGAGGAATGCTAGTATTTTGAGTAGGCAGAGGTGTGAATATCAATTATTAAAAGAGCCATATTTAAAATAACAAAACAAAAATATTTAATAAAACAAAATATCAAAGAATATACAATAGAAATGGATTACAAAATAATATATATCTAGGCCTATCTTGAGAGTAAGAAAATTCAATCTTCTATCTTAAATCTAGCATGTGAAAGAGAGTTTACACCAATCTAAATATTAATATACTACCTTCTCAGTTCTTTCAAATATTTTCATGTATGAGAGGAGGATCTTCTTAACTTTGGACATTCATCTTATTTTCTGTGGCAATTTCTTGTATGGATAACTGTGTTCTATGGTATGGCGAACTGCTCTATATCGTATGGAGAACTCTTCGAATGGTAGACTCANTTTTTTTTTTTTGATTTTATCTAAAATATAAATAAATTTGTAATTTTTATATTTAAATGCAATTTATGCTTTTTAATAACAGTTCTTACAAATAATTTTTTGAATAATTTAGCAATAATAAAATAAATTGATTACAATAAAAAAGAAATTAGCCAATAGATGTGAGTAAATGGTTATTCTCTATTAATGTTGTAACTTGTTTGTGTGGATCTGTTTTCATAACAAGTCAAAAAGACAAAGTAGTTGGAAACGGTTTATCTACAGTATGTTTTCCTGGCACTGAGGAGCAGCGTATTGCTGATCCTATGATAGTGCAAGCTGATCAGTTGTAGCCCTGGAGTGGACAAGATGGGTTCACTCGGTCACAGAAGCGATGGTAGGTGATGGAGCTGCAGCAACTGGAGTAGTCCACAAGTCACAACACAAATTTTAACAGACCTGACTTTAGGCTTAATCCAGATGAAGACGACACAGATTAATCACTGTAGAATTTTTAGAACTGCATTTTGACCTTGAGATTCAGGGTTTTTATAGTATTTCTTCCTTGAATCTCACATTTTGATTGGCCCTACATCCCATTCCTCACTTCCCGATTGTTTTCTTCTTTGTCTCCAGGTGAAAACCAAAATCAGATCAGGTCACGAGAAAGTTCCGTTCCGAGGTGTCTATTTGACACCTGTTTGTCGAGTCTGATCAGAGATTGTTAATAAACCTATAGTCCTTGCGCTTATAATTTAGCCCATTGTTTCTGCTATCTGTCATTTTGGAACTTTAATGATCGTATGTGATGTTTTTATATCCGTCAAATCTTTCCCCTTTTCCAAAATTTAACCTAGACCGACTGTTTATGAGCACATTTTCTAATATATTCATCAAAGAAAACCCATTTTACAAATAAAATTACAAAAATACCGGCTGCTAGAACAGATAAATTGTATTTGCATTAATTTCTATGGGAAAAATTGCTTCAGTTAACAAACAAAGTCGTGGAATGGATTAAGTTCATTAACCAAGATTCCACTATACCTTTAAAAAACTAATTTTTAGTAATATTATTGTTTTTTATAATTGTATTTTTTTTATCTATTTGTATTATATGGTTTTATTTTTGTTGTTTTTGTACTAATATTTTAGCTTGTTGCTCTAATGCATCGTGTCAAAACTTTTCAATTGTTAGGAGAAAATTTCACACAAATTGTATGTAGGTGGGACACAAATATTTTGCATATTCTGTTTACAAAAAGTAGGCTTATTTCTATTATTTATAAGTGATGTGTCAAATATGTGTGTGGGTTGGATTAACATGTGTCCAGATTTGGCCCAGGACCATAGTTTGGGCACCACTGCTCTAAAGTATACTAATGATACCCTGTTTCCCCGAAAATAAGACAGTGTCTTATATTAATTTTTGCTCTCAAAGATGCACTAGGTCTTATTTTCAGGGGATGTCTTATTTTTCCATGAAGAAGAATTCACATTTATTGTTGAACAAAAAAATTCCTAAGTCTAACTTAAAGAAGAGTGATGTAAATCTGGTTGTGTTGAACTGAACTTATGAAGTTCCCGTGCTGGAGTGGACTTCCCACTCTCGCTTCAACTTAATCTTTTCATAGCGTTGATATTGGGCTCGATGACCAATTAGTGCTTACTGAACCGTAGCACTATGCAAATGTGATGTGGCGTGATTCCCGGCCAACCAATTAGCGATCACCAGCCGTAATGTTATGCAAATCTGTGATTCTCAAGCCATAGTCTTATGCAAATCATGCCATGTGGCATGATTGTCTGCTGACCAATCAGTGGCTGTACTTTCAAAAAGCCAACGGCCACTTTCAACCATCTGTCGATGACCATTACGACTAAAAAAATCTTAGCTAGGTCTTACTTTCGGGGGGAGATCTTATATTTCACAATTCAGCAAAACTTCTGCTAGGTCTTATTTTTGGGGAAATCACCATAACTGTTAATACATTTATCCCACTGTGAGAGAAGATGGTCAATGCCTTCATAGAAAAATGTTTGTGGTTGTCTACGGAACCATGATATAATTATTAATTTCACTTTCAAAAATTTTAAATAATTTTTAAAATGAAACTAATTATGAATTTTTTTTATTATAGAAGTTTCCAGAATTAGTCAGAGTACCTACAGTAGAAAAGTGGTTACCAATTCATGCTGCAGCTATTAATGGACATGTACATGTACTTGATCTTCTGTTAAATTTTTCATATCCTTCATCTATTATGCAATCATATATTGACAAAACTGGAAATTGGGAATATTATTTTCCATTTGATATAAATGCTAAGNCACAACACTCAAGTGTTAATTACTTTATTTTATTTGAATGTTGGCATGAGGTGTATTTTACAATCATTATTTGTACTATCAGTCAGTCTTGACAATCTTAGTGTGTTTATGAATTATTTCTAAATATTACTTCATGTTTCTGGCACCATATTATTATCTGTGTAAAGTGCTTACTTTCAGGTAGCCAACTGTTTACATTTTTTCTGAAAGGAAGGTTTTCATCCTGTTTCAGGATGGCTTCAGCTTCTTAACATATACAAGTTACTGATCCAACTGATCAGTGACTGTAGAATTTTACAGAATTATTTCTATATCACTGAGATTCATAAATAGAATATATAGAGAACTATAGCATATAAGCACTATGTTTTACATTTACAGTCATAATTAATTATTGAATTTGATTTTTTTTAAACTGTAAGGTATCATATAATGATTAATTGCTATGTGCTAGTGTATTTTCAACTCATATTACTACTCCTTGAATGTTTACAGACATATTTATAATTGTGTATGATACAGTGACTAAACATATTTAAACAAATTATATGACTGCAAACATATTGAAACAATCAATTTGGAATCAATCAATTTGGCTTCTGAACAGCTCAAATATATATAATATTATTATTATTATGTTGAGTTTAGTGGGTTATACTCTGTTCACACAGGTGGCTGTGTACTATGCTGGACCAGAGTCAAGGCATAGCAACCAAAAACTAAAATTAAATAAGTGTGTCAGTGTCTGTATCTGTATTTAGGAATTTCCTAACAATATGGCATGTATTCAATTGTCATGTTTGTTTCGAGTCTTGTGATGGTGTAGTAAGTATGAATGATAAACTCATTCATTTCTATTGTCCATTTCATCCGTTGCTGTGATTTTCCAGCCTTTGTGGTCTGTGGATGCATTGCCATAGAAACACCAAGGCTAGGTTGATTCCTCATATCTGTTGAGGGCATTGCAGTAGCTATGCTTGGGCCAGTGCTGCTTTCACAAACCAGTAACCAAGGGAGACTGTGGCCTATTTTTTGAATGTGAGCCTCTGCCTAACCCACAAACATGGACCTTGTTAATCCAGGCGATGTCTGAGCTGGTATCATACTTAGGTCTGGTTACTACCATGATAAATATCTCCACAGAATGTGGGTGTGGTCACTCTTAGCTTCATTTCTCCTCATAGATCTTACTGGCATGGGTGTCCCTACCAGGAGCTTGTGCTCCAGCCTGCATTGCCCTATGGATCAGTAAAATTACTGGGCTCTCCCACCACGACCAGGTGGTGACAACAGGAGAGTTATTATTATTATAAATTATATGTATATATTTATTTATTTATTTACTTATATTTACAGTATGTAATTAATGCTACTTTTTATATTTTAGATAATCGAAGCATCTCTTAATGATGATTTGGAAAAAGAACAATACTGTCAGTTAACATCATTAAACTTATCACACAATGCTTATAAAACTATACCTCCCGTATTAGCCTGTTTTGCTGTTAATTTGTCACGATTAAATATGAGTTATAATAGACTTGTAGATATGGGCTCTGTAACTTGTTATCCTGCTGGTTTGAAACATCTTGATTTATCTCATAATCACATTGTATCATGGCCAACTCAAAATCGTGTAGATCCAGAAGTGACGGGAGATTCATCAGGAATATTATGTTACAATTACTTGGAAACAAGTAGTCCTCAGAGATCAAAATCATCTCCAGCAGGTATTTAATTTTGATGTATTTTTTAAAAATATTTTAAGCACATTTCAAATAATAATTAAAAACAAACTTTTAAAACAAAATATGTGTTGTCCTTAACCTATATCCTTAAATCGAATGTTTTTAAAAACATTCAATTTAAGAATCCAGTACAATAAATTTAGCCTGCAGAAGAGCCCAGGAGGGGCATCAAAAGCGTTTGCCAATCTTTGTTTGGAGTTTTCACGCTGGATATAGGTTAAGGACGACACATATTTTGTTTTATATGACCCGGTGTGGGAGAAATCCTTGGTAACAAACTTTTATTTATATGAGTTTTATATTAATATCAGCTGAAATTTTGGAATTTACTTAATAATTATTTTAATATGTTAAAATTGATAATAGATACAAGTTATGATTTTGAAACTAGAAAAAGTCTTATGATTTTTATATGATAAAATGTGAGAATTTTTATTCTTCTAGCTAGCAAAAGAACCAAACAAAAGTCATTATTGTATGAAACAAAGGTTTATTTCATGATCTTGTTACAAACTTGTGTTCAGTGATTGCTCATTCACAGTATCTTAAACTAACTTAAAACTTGAAGTAACAAATGCAAGAGAGGAGGAGAGACTGAAACAAAAAGTATATGCACCCTTAGTGTATACATCTCCACCTCTATTCCTGCTGTGTTTATTAGAGAAAGAGAAAGGCAGAAAAAGAAATCAGTACATTCTAGACATTTACAAGTATAAATTATAACTAAAATATACATGTAAAAATATATGGCAGGTGACTGCACAGTGTTCTCATAAAATATTCTGTCAAGACCTGTCTAAACCTGTGAAAAATGCAAACTCAAAAAAATATTGAATCAAAAACCTGATACAAAAACATTAGGAATAAAAACAAATATTTCAATATTTATTCTGCTTACATTTTGATAGCATTTAGGAAGTAGTTTGGTTAAATAATATCATAATTGATATTACTAAGTTCAAAAATTGTTTTGGAAACATAATATACATGATTTAGCCCCAGGGACATGCTGATAAACAAACTACTGTTAATACAATTGAGAAAAACAAAATATCAAATGATGAAGTGAAGCATATTAAAAAAAACTGGTAAACTAAATGATTTTGAATATGTATATTAAATTTTACAATATATTTAAATTGTACTTATGTCAGCAAACAATATCTGCCTTTTTCAAATCAAGATAGGAAGAAAATTGATCTATTTGATTTTCTATTTGATTTTGCAGAAACTTCAGAAAAAATTTTTGTTTTCTGTTTTGTCTGCATTTATGTTGTATTAAAATATCTGTTCTTGTCCTAAGTCTATTTTGATTTTAAAACAAATAGAAGATTGCTCTGTTTTCCTGATGCATTGAGATACTTTAACATAAACTTATTACTAGAAATGTTGAATATTTAATTATATTTAATTATAACTTTAAAAAAACAGAGAAAACTCAAGAGTGTTTAGTTTGAATTCAAACAAGTAAACAATTTATGATGGCTTCTATAAGTATACTTATAGATATAAGTATACTCACTGAATATGTATGTATTCAGTGAGAAAACATTGAAAAGTTTCACTTAGAACATTTGTGCTTGGCACATCCTTTTACTTTTTTGATTGAGAATATATACATTTGTGTATATACTATATTTTTAACTCAATGTATATTTTATTTTCTGAATTATTTTCTTTTATTCTGAGTTTGTTTTAATAACTATAGCAAATCATGTGTCTAGATTAAAATTTGCTAACTACATGCAGTTGTCCCTTGCTTAACACAGGATTTGATTAACATGTGAAATTAAGTGTAGCAATTCCTTTACATACACAGTAGAGTTTTAATTAACACAGCTTTACTAGCTGTTTTTACTTAACGTAGATACCATATTTGATTAAAATGACTTTGATATATGCAGTAATATCGAGGGATTGATTAACCATGTTAATCAAGGGATACCTGTATAACTTATAAATTTATATCTTTACACTTTGAAGCAGTAAACATTTTTTTATTCTAACCTGCCTAAGATAGAAAACTTGTTTAATCCAGAATGTTTACAGATTCTCATTGTAGATTTTACAAGTTTTACTATATTTGTAAATTAGAGTTTAATATTTTTTAATGATATAATCCTTGTAGATAGTGAAGATTTATTGTATTTTAATATTTAAGTTTTAAAATTATAAATTATAAATTTATAATTTTAAATTAAAAATTATAAATTTTAAGATACTAAAAATTTTTGTTTTAAATTGTTCATATATATTTTTTTAAACTTAGCAAAGAAACCAAGTTCAAATCTTCCATCTTGGGGTTCAATGAAATCATTACTTAGTACACCTTGTGCACATCGAAGGCATATAAAGTTAGACAATCTTCGTACATTTATTCTTGCCGACAATCAGTTGGATCGACTAGTGCTAATCATTGAGGAAGATATTGGTGATGAAGATGAAAGTAAAATTCAGGAAGCTGACACTGTTTCAACAACAAGTAGAGTAAGAGTGATTAAATATTTTATTTGAAAAAGTTGAAAATACTAACAAAATTGCTGAATTTGAAAAAAATTATAAACTTTATAGAGTAATTTTATAAGATATTGAGAAAATTATAATTTTGATGATTTTCTTAGCAGTTTAAAGTTACATCAAAACATTATTGATTGTTCATTTAAAAGTCTAATTCGACATTTAATTAAGCAAATCTTTTGAAAATGTATAAGTATTGAATTCATAAATTATGTATCAAAATTACAATTTTATCTATAGTTATAAATCAGTTCTGATCTCAGTTTTGATCTCAAGTCCTATTTCTTTTAGTTTTCTCTTCATTTTTTTTCTAATTTATAGTTTTTATGTTGGATGAATTATCAGTATTAATTTATATTTTTAACTTTTTATGTAACTAACATATTTTAATAGTTGATATCTAAAAGAGTTTAATTAAAAATTTCTAGGACTGGACAAACAGACTATACAAATAATAGAAATGAAATTTATTCAACATTATCATCCTCAAAATAATTTTCTGTTATTTTTTTTCTTATATCACTAGCAAGCACACAGTATAATTATGTCACTAGTATATACATAATAATCTGTATTAAATTCCTTTTATGTTTTGATGTGGACTGTATTTGTTTTTGTTAGTTAAATAATTATGAGAATTTTTAGAATCAATATATGGGATTGTCCATTAATTATGACTTTTTCTTAACGTTCCATAATATGCTGCACGTACCCACCCCCAAATTATGTAATGCATATCTTCAATTAAGTCTGTTAATTGTACTGAGTTATAATACACAACATTGGGTACTAAATATTTCATTATTAATTATTACAGTGACATAAACAGTACAGTTTACTATGCAATTCATCAGAAATCAGTCACAATACCACCAAACAGCAAAAATGATTCCTGTCAAAACACAGGAAATCTTTAAATTGCCCAGATAATTTTCATTTATCTGGATTTTTGTTAATCCAGATTGGGTCCAGTCCCATTTTATCTGGATAAATGGAGTTTGATTGTATTTGTAGATAATGGCTTCAGCATTTATAACCTTTCCTTGGTCACATTAAAATTTTATTTAATTCTTTTTATNAGTAGAAAAGTGGTTACCAATTCATGCTGCAGCTATTAATGGACATGTACATGTACTTGATCTTTTGTTAAATTTTTCATATCCTTCATCTATTATGCAATCATATATTGACAAAACTGGAAATTGGGAATATTATTTTCCATTTGATATAAATGCTAAGGATGTTACTGGCCAAACAGTGTTGTATGTTGGATGCTATGTAGGAAATCAAAGGTTAGTTGATACACTTCTTAAGTTTAAAATAAAAGCCCAGAGGCGTAATCATTCAAAGGAAAATTTTGATGAGAAAAATGAACAGAAAGAAAACTTGGAGACAAGTTCAAGAAGAAGTCTTTCAGATGGTTTACACAATGTTATGGTAAAATTAAAGTTAAAATCTAATTCAAATCTTCAAGAATCAAGAACTGAATCAGAAATCCGTCCTATTGACTTAGATGCATATTGCAACAACAATACAGAAACATGTCTTCATGTTGCTGTTCGTAATAAACATTATAATATTGTCTCTATGTTGTTACAGTATGGAGCTAATCCTAATCTCTGTGTTAAACAGCCTGATGATTATTCTACCAAAACTCAAGAAGACTATATTTTTCCTGGTTCCTCTCCTCTTATGGAAGCTTGTAAAAATCATGATGGTACAATGGTTGATTCTTTAATAAGATATGGTGCAAGAGATGATGATTGTAAAGCTCTTAAAATTGCCTGTAGTTATAATGATGAACACATTGTTTCTCGACTTTTATCTTTAAAAGCTTATCAAGATCCAGAATTTAAAATTAACAAGAAAGCTTTGGAAATATCTCCTTCTACTCAGTTGAGTGGTTTTATGAACAGTGTTACATACAGTTCAATGTTTCCAACAACTCCAGTAATGATTAATTGGCATGGTCAAAAATGTTTAAATCACATTCAAGAACAGTGGTTAATAAATGCGTGTGTTACTCATAATATTAAATTGAAATTAACTCCAAGAAATCAGACCACTGCATTAATTGCTATCACAAGACTAGACATTTCTAATAATCAATTAACTGAATTGCCATTATGCATTTTTCAAATGCCTTCTCTTAAAATTCTTAATGCTGCTCAAAATAAAATTTTTAAATTGCCAGAAAGTGTTGACTTTTCTCATTCCAACAGTTTAATAAAAAGCAAACATTCAACATTTCAATTACCTTCTCAGTGGCATTGTCCAGTTTTAGAAGAAATCCATCTTCAAGAAAATCGCTTAGATAATGTACCACCATGTTTGTTTGATCTTCCTTCATTGATTTTACTTGATTTATCTAATAATAAACTCCAATCATTACCATTTAAAATGTGGTCAGCACCTAAATTAAGAGAATTAAATTTGTCTTTAAATATGTTACATGATCTACCTTATAGAAGTGGTCCAAATTTATTAGATCCACGGCAGATATGTAATATTGCAGAAGATCAAACAACTTCTGCAGAATCAAGCCCTAGACATACATCAACTGATGCAGTATCTATAGATAGTTCGGTGAGTGGCTCTGAAGGAAGATGTATCTCTCCAAGTGTTGGAGCAAGTCCACAGCAAACAGTTCAAGGTGTGTGTGTTGGAAATCTTCAACAACAGGATCTTCATCATGATAACTTATGGAGTCATAGTATAGAGGTAATTAATATTATTTTAAATTGAAAAGTATTGACGATAAGTTCTTAAAAATGAAAATTAAATTTAAACATTTTTATTAAGCAGTTAACAAGTTAGTTATAACAGAACTTAAACTTTAAAAAGCTTTAGTTCTTTAGTTACAAATAAAAGTTGATTTTATTTTATTTTGATATTTTTTAATTAAATTGAATATTGTATATACTATTGATAAGTTTTATAATTGATGAAAATATAGTATTTTAAAGTTGTGAAATTTGCTGAATTTGGCACATTGGATTACTAAATATTGCTTATTTCTTTTAATGTTTTTGATCAAAATCTAATCATCAGCTAATTAATGTGAATAAAAGTGAACATTTATAATAGTATCTAAATGAACTGGAATGGAATTTACGTTTGAAATATTAGGGCCAGTCAAATGAAAATGAGACAGATGGGAAAAAAGTAAGTAAACTGTTTATTATTTCAAAAGTAATCACCATAACTGTTAATACATTTATCCCACTGTGAGAGAAGATGGTCAATGCCTTCATAGAAAAATGTTTGTGGTTGTCTACGGAACCATGATTGTACCCAGGTGTGCACCTTTCCGTCCAAAGCAAATTGATGGCCATGAATGTTGTTCTTTGGGGCTCCAAAAATATGGAAATCGCATGGGAAGAAATCGGGACTGTATGGAGGATGTGTATGGAGTACACTGCAGAAGTTTTCAGTGAAACTTCTGCAGCTTTTGAATTTAGGTGTGATTTGTGAAACTTCTGCAATGTAGTAAAAAAAACCTTGGTAACATGTGGATGGGCATTATCCTGCACAGAATGATGCTGTCTGTCAACATTCCTGGGTGTTTCGATTTGATGGCACGCTTCAATTTTTGCAAAGTTTCTATGTACTGCTGTTTGTTAATTGTGGCACCATGTTCCAGAAAGTCAACAAGCAGTGGACTCACGTGGATGCATGTTGGATGCACACACGCAAGTCATGTGTGCATCCAACATCTCCATAGTGATGTTGGACGCACACACGACTTGTCAACCTCACTTTGAGCATGTCTAACAGACAAATGGCACAGTGGTGAACGTTCACGCTGTTCCTTCCTGATTCCCAATAGAGGGCACTTCTATATACACACCTACCTGCATTACCAACTTCCGTGCCACACTTGTTATATAGTCTGTCTCGTTTTCATATGACTGCCCCTAATATATTAGAACAGAAATTTTAAAAATATTTTTGGTTTAGAAAAAACTACTTGTTAAAATCAAGATTATTAAGTATTGTTAGTTTCTAAGCCAGTGAAAATCTGTGTTAACTGAATGACATTATTGAATATTTACTGTATTTTAGCAAAACAGTTTTATTCAAGTAATGACAAAATATTTTACTAAAAAATGTTGAAGGGTATTCACCCTAATGATATTCATTCACTCTTATAATAGTTATTTTTATCAAAGAACCTATAATAATGGACATAAACACTATAAAAAATAATATTACAACTGCTTTAATTGCAGAAAATTATACTTTAGAGTAAGTTTTCAAAATTATGATCTTGCAAATCTGAATTTCATTGTTGATCTAAGCAGTAAGAATCTGGATTCTTTGAGAGAAATTAAAGCCTACATATTAAAACCTATATAAAAAAATCTAAATGATCAGTCTCAAATTTAAGTTAATCTGGTAACAATGATAAGTCAGATAAGATAGGAATGGGGATATTTTTCTGTTTCAGTTCTTCAAGTGAACAGAGCAAAATAGTTTTTATTGAAAAATGATTTTCTTGTATTAGAGAATAATGGTTACAAAAATCAAATACAATGTTTACAATTTAGGTTATTTTTGTAATAAAGCAAGGTTGGTTAGGCAAGAAAGCATGGAACAGTAATAAATTCTATGTACCAAATTAATATATTATACTTTCATATCACTCTGGCATATATGCTATAAGTTTACTAGTTCCTCTCTCTGATTATAAGTGGTTGCATTCTATAATACCAGCTTATTTAATTGTCTCTGCATTGTGCTGATACTTTACCAGATAACTTACTAAAGATCTTTACATATATTATATTAATCAAATTCAATAATTGTAAATATAAAACATAATACTTATATGCTATATTTTCTATTTATGAATCTCAGTGATATAGAACTAATTCATAAACACACTAAAATTGCCAAGACTGTTAACAAAGAAAACTGCTGCAAACAAAGCCTTCTGTGTAGAGATGTCTCATTCAAAGCAGGAGTCTTTTGTACTATCAGGTTCTTACTAAAGTGTTGTAAGAACGGACTCATCCCCAAGTGCATCACTTTTAAGTATGACTCATTTCCAATAGATGTTCAAACCCTGTTGCTTTGAATGCAATGAAGTCTTCTAGCAAAATTAATTAAGAGCAGATGCAAAGCAATAGCAGAAGAAGAAGAAAAGATCTACCTGGCCCATCTCTTTTTTGTCAAGCCATGTGATCCAGAAACTTTGTACCAACAACTGGATAAAATAAGAAATATAGCTAACAAAAAAAGCACATGAAGTCAGGAAGTAATTGGCCAATACATTTTATTGGTTACAGAAAACATTCCACTGTAAACAAATCAGAACTACAGAGGTTCTATACAACTTCACAAATGCAAAGGTACAGAAAATGTTCATCAAATATTATTATGAGAGCTGAAACATATACCCACTCCAAGGTTTGATTATTCACAACTCCATTCTACCCACCATGGCGGCTATAATGAACACCTGTTGTCCAGAATTGCAACCTAAATTGGAGCTGTTTGCAATAACCAGATAGCGTCACAGTGATGTTCGAAAATCAAGAAATCAAACATACAAACTGCTCAGGTGGTAAAATTATTTATTGGAAGCAATCGTTAAAACTGTAAATAAATAAGCAATTAGCTATAACCAACATTAATTCTCTTATAAATGAACGTTTTCTTTTGTCTTTAAGATGGGAGAAAACATTTGTTTATAAGAGAATTAATGCTGGTTATAGGTAATTGCTTATTTATTTATTGAATTCTACACCAGTAATATCACGATGATTACATTTAAATCTGTTAGTTGCAGATAAAGATAAAAGATTTGTGCTATGTAAAAACCAGGACTTCCTATCAAGAGCCAACAAATTCCTTGAGCAATCCAAGTTGGTTATACTAAAAGAGGACCCGACAGCGACTATACTAAGAAAGACATGTAAGGTTATAACACTCCCAGGGATAGTAGCTTCTTTTGTAGGACCTCTCAATCTGCCAATGAACATTGCTTGCCCAAGATTGTTCTTCAAGACAAAGACGCATAAACCTGCTTGGCCTTAAGACCATTGGTTAACAAATACTCTTACCCCACATACTTCCTAGAAACAATGCTAGTAGAACAAATTAAAGCTTTAGTTCCACCCTCTGACTTAGTAACCACAGCCACATTAGATGATAAATCAGTCATCTTTGCTAAGTTAAAGAACCTTTCCACTTGCTCATACCGCTTGTATAAAATTGATGTAATTTCCTTACATCCATCACTGCCACATTTTGAAGCTGTCATACTTGTAAGTGCATTGCTACTTAGCTCTGGATACCTAGTATCACATGTGTTACATTTGCAAGAGGCTCTCTTTCTCATCACAGAAAACAATTATTGGCAAAATATACAGACAGACTCAGGGAGTGCCAGTAAGTTCCCCTTCTCACCCATTTTAGCAGAGTTTACCATGAGGGATATAGAGTCTCATATTTTTGATGCCCCTTTGGCTGTCCACTATCCAATCATGTATTTATGATATTTAGATGACATATTGCTTGCATGGGATGGCTCTGCATATTAATTAGACGACTTTATTCAAATGTTAGCTTCTATATATCCATCCATCAACTTTTCAGTGGAAGAAGAACAAAATATCAGAATTTCCTTTTTAGATCTGGAAATACTTAGATCTCCTGAACTGCTATTTTCTGTACACCATAAAAACAACATTGTGCCACATATTATTCCTGCAACTGTTTTCCAACCCTCACACTTTGTAAATTCATCTATTACATCTCTCATTCGGAGAGTGCTCCTACTTCTATCCATCCAGACATTAATAGACAAGGAATTACAACTTATTAATAGGGTGGTGCACAATGCTGGTTATTTTTCTTTCAGGTTTTGTTATCTCTATAACTGTGCCACAGTCTTTCCTCTGCAACAAAGAAAAACTAAAGATAGTAAAACTTCCAATACTGTTTTTGGGTTCTATATCTCTAAAAATAGCACGTCTTTTTAGAAAGCATGGTTTTACTTTGCCTATAGCCCCACAACAAACACTAAGAAGAGTGTTATGTAATGATAGAGATACTCACACATTAAATGAAAAATTGGGGGTCTACAAAATTCTGTTTAAACATATACTGCCAGAGGAGGAAATTATCTACATAGGGACTACTACCAGAATGCTACAGTCCCGCATCCGGGAACATCAAGAGGATATTAGAAACAATAGATCAGCAACAGAGTTATCTAAAAAGGTACTAGACCAGAGATATCTACTGCTTTGGGCACATACTAAATTACTTAAACAGTGTAATGATCGAAGAGAGTTATTTATATGGGAGAACCTATATATCTGCTGTAACACTGTGCAATACACCAACCTTAGAAATCCCACAACTGTGGATAACATTATTCAAACAATTTAAATTATGATTTTACATTCTCATTTGTACCACAACCAAATTGCTCACTTAATTGCTTTTTAAGTATCTTTATTTATATTACATCATTTGCAGTATGTTTTTATAATTTTCGAAAATATTTTAATTTTAATTTTAGTTTATTCTGTATTCCACCCACATGCCTTTGACAATTTGAAAAGTCCAATCAAAAGCCGAAAATTCAAAAATAATTGTATTCAATTTTTCGTCTGAGGATGGTAGCTGTAAGCTATCAAAAGTGCTAGTGAGTACATCTAAAATCTAAAAAGTCTCAATTTGTAACGACACAACACTCAAGTGTTAATTACTTTATTTTATTTGAATGTTGGCATGAGGTGTATTTTACAATCATTATTTGTACTATCAGTCAGTCTTGACAATCTTAGTGTGTTTATGAATTATTTCTAAATATTACTTCATGTTTCTGGCACCATATTATTATCTGTGTAAAGTGCTTACTTTCAGGTAGCCAACTGTTTACATTTTTTCTGAAAGGAAGGTTTTCATCCTGTTTCAGGATGGCTTCAGCTTCTTAACATATACAAGTTACTGATCCAACTGATCAGTGACTGTAGAATTTTACAGAATTATTTCTATATCACTGAGATTCATAAATAGAATATATAGAGAACTATAGCATATAAGCACTATGTTTTACATTTACAGTCATAATTAATTATTGAATTTGATTTTTTTTAAACTGTAAGGTATCATATAATGATTAATTGCTATGTGCTAGTGTATTTTCAACTCATATTACTACTCCTTGAATGTTTACAGACATATTTATAATTGTGTATGATACAGTGACTAAACATATTTAAACAAATTATATGACTGCAAACATATTGAAACAATCAATTTGGAATCAATCAATTTGGCTTCTGAACAGCTCAAATATATATAATATTATTATTATTATGTTGAGTTTAGTGGGTTATACTCTGTTCACACAGGTGGCTGTGTACTATGCTGGACCAGAGTCAAGGCATAGCAACCAAAAACTAAAATTAAATAAGTGTGTCAGTGTCTGTATCTGTATTTAGGAATTTCCTAACAATATGGCATGTATTCAATTGTCATGTTTGTTTCGAGTCTTGTGATGGTGTAGTAAGTATGAATGATAAACTCATTCATTTCTATTGTCCATTTCATCCGTTGCTGTGATTTTCCAGCCTTTGTGGTCTGTGGATGCATTGCCATAGAAACACCAAGGCTAGGTTGATTCCTCATATCTGTTGAGGGCATTGCAGTAGCTATGCTTGGGCCAGTGCTGCTTTCACAAACCAGTAACCAAGGGAGACTGTGGCCTATTTTTTGAATGTGAGCCTCTGCCTAACCCACAAACATGGACCTTGTTAATCCAGGCGATGTCTGAGCTGGTATCATACTTAGGTCTGGTTACTACCATGATAAATATCTCCACAGAATGTGGGTGTGGTCACTCTTAGCTTCATTTCTCCTCATAGATCTTACTGGCATGGGTGTCCCTACCAGGAGCTTGTGCTCCAGCCTGCATTGCCCTATGGATCAGTAAAATTACTGGGCTCTCCCACCACGACCAGGTGGTGACAACAGGAGAGTTATTATTATTATAAATTATATGTATATATTTATTTATTTATTTACTTATATTTACAGTATGTAATTAATGCTACTTTTTATATTTTAGATAATCGAAGCATCTCTTAATGATGATTTGGAAAAAGAACAATACTGTCAGTTAACATCATTAAACTTATCACACAATGCTTATAAAACTATACCTCCCGTATTAGCCTGTTTTGCTGTTAATTTGTCACGATTAAATATGAGTTATAATAGACTTGTAGATATGGGCTCTGTAACTTGTTATCCTGCTGGTTTGAAACATCTTGATTTATCTCATAATCACATTGTATCATGGCCAACTCAAAATCGTGTAGATCCAGAAGTGACGGGAGATTCATCAGGAATATTATGTTACAATTACTTGGAAACAAGTAGTCCTCAGAGATCAAAATCATCTCCAGCAGGTATTTAATTTTGATGTATTTTTTAAAAATATTTTAAGCACATTTCAAATAATAATTAAAAACAAACTTTTAAAACAAAATATGTGTTGTCCTTAACCTATATCCTTAAATCGAATGTTTTTAAAAACATTCAATTTAAGAATCCAGTACAATAAATTTAGCCTGCAGAAGAGCCCAGGAGGGGCATCAAAAGCGTTTGCCAATCTTTGTTTGGAGTTTTCACGCTGGATATAGGTTAAGGACGACACATATTTTGTTTTATATGACCCGGTGTGGGAGAAATCCTTGGTAACAAACTTTTATTTATATGAGTTTTATATTAATATCAGCTGAAATTTTGGAATTTACTTAATAATTATTTTAATATGTTAAAATTGATAATAGATACAAGTTATGATTTTGAAACTAGAAAAAGTCTTATGATTTTTATATGATAAAATGTGAGAATTTTTATTCTTCTAGCTAGCAAAAGAACCAAACAAAAGTCATTATTGTATGAAACAAAGGTTTATTTCATGATCTTGTTACAAACTTGTGTTCAGTGATTGCTCATTCACAGTATCTTAAACTAACTTAAAACTTGAAGTAACAAATGCAAGAGAGGAGGAGAGACTGAAACAAAAAGTATATGCACCCTTAGTGTATACATCTCCACCTCTATTCCTGCTGTGTTTATTAGAGAAAGAGAAAGGCAGAAAAAGAAATCAGTACATTCTAGACATTTACAAGTATAAATTATAACTAAAATATACATGTAAAAATATATGGCAGGTGACTGCACAGTGTTCTCATAAAATATTCTGTCAAGACCTGTCTAAACCTGTGAAAAATGCAAACTCAAAAAAATATTGAATCAAAAACCTGATACAAAAACATTAGGAATAAAAACAAATATTTCAATATTTATTCTGCTTACATTTTGATAGCATTTAGGAAGTAGTTTGGTTAAATAATATCATAATTGATATTACTAAGTTCAAAAATTGTTTTGGAAACATAATATACATGATTTAGCCCCAGGGACATGCTGATAAACAAACTACTGTTAATACAATTGAGAAAAACAAAATATCAAATGATGAAGTGAAGCATATTAAAAAAAACTGGTAAACTAAATGATTTTGAATATGTATATTAAATTTTACAATATATTTAAATTGTACTTATGTCAGCAAACAATATCTGCCTTTTTCAAATCAAGATAGGAAGAAAATTGATCTATTTGATTTTCTATTTGATTTTGCAGAAACTTCAGAAAAAATTTTTGTTTTCTGTTTTGTCTGCATTTATGTTGTATTAAAATATCTGTTCTTGTCCTAAGTCTATTTTGATTTTAAAACAAATAGAAGATTGCTCTGTTTTCCTGATGCATTGAGATACTTTAACATAAACTTATTACTAGAAATGTTGAATATTTAATTATATTTAATTATAACTTTAAAAAAACAGAGAAAACTCAAGAGTGTTTAGTTTGAATTCAAACAAGTAAACAATTTATGATGGCTTCTATAAGTATACTTATAGATATAAGTATACTCACTGAATATGTATGTATTCAGTGAGAAAACATTGAAAAGTTTCACTTAGAACATTTGTGCTTGGCACATCCTTTTACTTTTTTGATTGAGAATATATACATTTGTGTATATACTATATTTTTAACTCAATGTATATTTTATTTTCTGAATTATTTTCTTTTATTCTGAGTTTGTTTTAATAACTATAGCAAATCATGTGTCTAGATTAAAATTTGCTAACTACATGCAGTTGTCCCTTGCTTAACACAGGATTTGATTAACATGTGAAATTAAGTGTAGCAATTCCTTTACATACACAGTAGAGTTTTAATTAACACAGCTTTACTAGCTGTTTTTACTTAACGTAGATACCATATTTGATTAAAATGACTTTGATATATGCAGTAATATCGAGGGATTGATTAACCATGTTAATCAAGGGATACCTGTATAACTTATAAATTTATATCTTTACACTTTGAAGCAGTAAACATTTTTTTATTCTAACCTGCCTAAGATAGAAAACTTGTTTAATCCAGAATGTTTACAGATTCTCATTGTAGATTTTACAAGTTTTACTATATTTGTAAATTAGAGTTTAATATTTTTTAATGATATAATCCTTGTAGATAGTGAAGATTTATTGTATTTTAATATTTAAGTTTTAAAATTATAAATTATAAATTTATAATTTTAAATTAAAAATTATAAATTTTAAGATACTAAAAATTTTTGTTTTAAATTGTTCATATATATTTTTTTAAACTTAGCAAAGAAACCAAGTTCAAATCTTCCATCTTGGGGTTCAATGAAATCATTACTTAGTACACCTTGTGCACATCGAAGGCATATAAAGTTAGACAATCTTCGTACATTTATTCTTGCCGACAATCAGTTGGATCGACTAGTGCTAATCATTGAGGAAGATATTGGTGATGAAGATGAAAGTAAAATTCAGGAAGCTGACACTGTTTCAACAACAAGTAGAGTAAGAGTGATTAAATATTTTATTTGAAAAAGTTGAAAATACTAACAAAATTGCTGAATTTGAAAAAAATTATAAACTTTATAGAGTAATTTTATAAGATATTGAGAAAATTATAATTTTGATGATTTTCTTAGCAGTTTAAAGTTACATCAAAACATTATTGATTGTTCATTTAAAAGTCTAATTCGACATTTAATTAAGCAAATCTTTTGAAAATGTATAAGTATTGAATTCATAAATTATGTATCAAAATTACAATTTTATCTATAGTTATAAATCAGTTCTGATCTCAGTTTTGATCTCAAGTCCTATTTCTTTTAGTTTTCTCTTCATTTTTTTTCTAATTTATAGTTTTTATGTTGGATGAATTATCAGTATTAATTTATATTTTTAACTTTTTATGTAACTAACATATTTTAATAGTTGATATCTAAAAGAGTTTAATTAAAAATTTCTAGGACTGGACAAACAGACTATACAAATAATAGAAATGAAATTTATTCAACATTATCATCCTCAAAATAATTTTCTGTTATTTTTTTTCTTATATCACTAGCAAGCACACAGTATAATTATGTCACTAGTATATACATAATAATCTGTATTAAATTCCTTTTATGTTTTGATGTGGACTGTATTTGTTTTTGTTAGTTAAATAATTATGAGAATTTTTAGAATCAATATATGGGATTGTCCATTAATTATGACTTTTTCTTAACGCTCCATAATATGCTGCACGTACCCACCCCCAAATTATGTAATGCATATCTTCAATTAAGTCTGTTAATTGTACTGAGTTATAATACACAACATTGGGTACTAAATATTTCATTATTAATTATTACAGTGACATAAACAGTACAGTTTACTATGCAATTCATCAGAAATCAGTCACAATACCACCAAACAGCAAAAATGATTCCTGTCAAAACACAGGAAATCTTTAAATTGCCCAGATAATTTTCATTTATCTGGATTTTTGTTAATCCAGATTGGGTCCAGTCCCATTTTATCTGGATAAATGGAGTTTGATTGTATTTGTAGATAATGGCTTCAGCATTTATAACCTTTCCTTGGTCACATTAAAATTTTATTTAATTCTTTTTATAATTAAATGACTTCTGTATGTTATTCAAGTATAATGATATATATATATATATATTCAAGTATAAATATACTTGAATATATTTTACAAATATATTTCAAGACATATTTTTAATACTTTCCAATATGAATTGAATTATTTTATTTTATTTTATTTTATTTTATAAACTATAAGTTAAAATATATTTGTTATAATAGTTTATAATAGAAATATGATCTTAGTCATAATTATTATAATATATAATTTATACAAGGTGGTCAAATGAAAATAAGACTTGTGTAAAGTAGAACTAGAAATTTGTTGATACTGTGTGTTGGCTGTGCTTGATGCTATCTTGCTACAAATTGCAAGAAAGATGTAAAACTTAAACATTTATTTACTATGGACTTGGATAGCATTTAAACTCAATTAGCAATTATTTATTGTGACATTGTCACAAAGTGGTGGTTCAATTTTTTATCAACTTTTTATTTTAAGAAAAATCATGTTACTTCTGATTCAGACTGAAGTTTGTCTATATTTAATCAAGGTTGTCAGTCCCTATGCTTTCCATATTTGGTCTCAGTTTTACTGGTGCCTTGCCTCTGTATGTCATACTTCTCCTGATAACAATCAAGTTATGCCAGTCAGCTATCTAACTCTGTTGTCAAGAAAATTTTGAATTGAAGTAACATAACTTTCAATCTAGACTGGAAGTTTGTATATAGTTAATTGGGGCCTCCAGCCCTAAGCTTTCCATATATGGTCTCAATTTTTATCTATCTAACTCTGTTCTTGAGATTTATTATATATTTTTTTAACTCTTTCTGCCCTTTGGGCACTAAAAGAGCTTCTTTTAGCAAGCCCATTATGGGTTCTTCCAGCCCACAATGGGGCAGTTGGGTGATGAGGGGACAAGGCCTGACATATCTAGACAGACCACAACCTGAAAAATTCCTACGATTTTTTCAACTTGTCCAGTTTTGGTCCCAGTCTCCCTGAGTGATAGACTGCCATTTTGACTACTCAGCCATCCAGCCATCAATGTTCTTGAGATTAACAAAAGACAGACAGATGGATGACAGTGGGAATGTATAAGTCTGAAATTTGAAAATTGGAACCCAATAAATAACAAGTTCAAGGACAATTCTTACTTTATAAAGCTGAAATTTGATTTTTTTTTTTTTTTTCGTAGCAGATAATGAATTTGAACAGAACCATAAGATAATCCAGTATTGTGAATTTCAGTAGTCTTACAGATCTCATTGGATTTTTTCTGAACATATCTGATTGTCTTGAAGTTTTTCCTCAAATAAATTCTGTTTATAACATTTTTTTTTTTTTTGTTATACAAAGCCAAAGTCTACCACTTACTAAAAAGTTTGTGGACATAAATGTTTGTAGGCACAAAAATATTTGGAATATTTTTGCATTAATTGTTGTCTTAATATTTGATAACTTTTAATTTACGTAATTTTACAGAGAAAAGTTACATAAATAACTTTTATTTATAAAAATTCTTTGTTCTGTACCAAAAGGTATTTCCAGTTATTGCAAAACGTAACAATAATTAGCTATGAGTTATCACTCTACTTGGAAATTGATGGTGAAGGATGAGTCAGTCAGATATCAGTAAACTTGTGGCATTTCATCAGTCCACGTAATTATAGTGTTTGTTGGAAATATATAAATACTTGAAGCCATATACATCACCATGTAAATTTATTTACAACAATATATAAAAATTCATTTTACAAGTAAAGGTTGGTAGGTTAGAAGATCATGTGTAGGTACATCCACTCATCATGTGGAGAGTAGCCAAGAAGAGGGGGGAAAGTAATGATGGACTGCACGTTTTTATATCCTCATGCCAGCACCACCTGGATTTCCAGATGGGATGCTAAGATCACAATTATTTGGCTGCTACACTCCTCAAGTTAGTTCTGTTCAGTTTTCTTTCCATTTGATCACTTAGCATTAGTGAATAAAATTCACTGATAAAATGTATTTTCTTAAGCAAAATTGTATTTCTCAAATAAAATGTTTAAATAATTGTATTAAAATTGTATATATTTATTTTTAGGAAAGTTGTTCTAGTCGAAGTAAACTACTTTATCCTGCATTATCAATGTTGGATATAAGTAACAATTATATCAAGGAAGTTCCTGCATCCATTTCAGAATTGACTAATTTATCCGTACTAAATATTAGTGGAAATACAGATATATGCTATTTGCCTCCTGAAATGGGTTTATTAACTAAACTTTGGAATTTGAACACAAGATGTTGTAATTTAAATGAGCCATTAAAGAGCATGATTGATAGCAAAAAATATAAAACAATGGATGTAATTGGATATTTGAAGTCCATTCTAGAAGAGTTAGTATATATTGTTTTATATTGAGTAATGATGCAGTAATAATAATAATAATTCCAATTCATAATTTAAAAAGCTATCTATCCATATAATTGTTTTATTGGAGTAATTAATGAAATACAAAAATCTAGAACACTTTCAAATCTTTGTGCTTATTCTCAGGAATTATTAATAAACAGCAAAAATGTAATCAGGAAAATGATTTTGAATAACAAATACACAAAGAAGCTAGATTTTAACTAATTTCTAAACATATTTAGAAGAGTTTCTATCCTGTCTTCAAGGATAATATTAGACTAGAATAGTTACATACATTCTACAACAGAACATAAAATATATATACAAGTTTTATAATTTTGAATTAGGCACTTGAAATTTTCCAAAAGAAACAGCCTTGTTTTCATAAACCAGCACAAAATTTAATGTATAGGATGAACATTTTTCTGCTGGTTTATGAAAACAAGCTTGTTTCTTTTGGGAAATTTAATTTAAATATTGCATTATATTTTCACAGTTTTTTTACACTATAACCATTGATGGAATTTTAAATTAGCTATTCAGAATCATTGTTTCTGATTACATTTCATGCTCTTTAGCTCCAGAAGATGCAAAGAAATATCTGAAAATATTTCTTTGTATTTCATTAATTATTCAAATAAATTATTGTATAGATATTTTCAAAATAATACAGATATATGACTACAACAAAGAATTATTTTTGATATTTAATAATTGAATAGCACTATAAAATTTAATAATGTATGGTTGTCACAACATTTCTACAAAATTATTAATTATGTCTGATTTTTTTTTTTCAAGGTTAATTNTGGGCTCTCCCACCACGACCAGGTGGTGACAACAGGAGAGTTATTATTATTATAAATTATATGTATATATTTATTTATTTATTTACTTATATTTACAGTATGTAATTAATGCTACTTTTTATATTTTAGATAATCGAAGCATCTCTTAATGATGATTTGGAAAAAGAACAATACTGTCAGTTAACATCATTAAACTTATCACACAATGCTTATAAAACTATACCTCCCGTATTAGCCTGTTTTGCTGTTAATTTGTCACGATTAAATATGAGTTATAATAGACTTGTAGATATGGGCTCTGTAACTTGTTATCCTGCTGGTTTGAAACATCTTGATTTATCTCATAATCACATTGTATCATGGCCAACTCAAAATCGTGTAGATCCAGAAGTGACGGGAGATTCATCAGGAATATTATGTTACAATTACTTGGAAACAAGTAGTCCTCAGAGATCAAAATCATCTCCAGCAGGTATTTAATTTTGATGTATTTTTTAAAAATATTTTAAGCACATTTCAAATAATAATTAAAAACAAACTTTTAAAACAAAATATGTGTTGTCCTTAACCTATATCCTTAAATCGAATGTTTTTAAAAACATTCAATTTAAGAATCCAGTACAATAAATTTAGCCTGCAGAAGAGCCCAGGAGGGGCATCAAAAGCGTTTGCCAATCTTTGTTTGGAGTTTTCACGCTGGATATAGGTTAAGGACGACACATATTTTGTTTTATATGACCCGGTGTGGGAGAAATCCTTGGTAACAAACTTTTATTTATATGAGTTTTATATTAATATCAGCTGAAATTTTGGAATTTACTTAATAATTATTTTAATATGTTAAAATTGATAATAGATACAAGTTATGATTTTGAAACTAGAAAAAGTCTTATGATTTTTATATGATAAAATGTGAGAATTTTTATTCTTCTAGCTAGCAAAAGAACCAAACAAAAGTCATTATTGTATGAAACAAAGGTTTATTTCATGATCTTGTTACAAACTTGTGTTCAGTGATTGCTCATTCACAGTATCTTAAACTAACTTAAAACTTGAAGTAACAAATGCAAGAGAGGAGGAGAGACTGAAACAAAAAGTATATGCACCCTTAGTGTATACATCTCCACCTCTATTCCTGCTGTGTTTATTAGAGAAAGAGAAAGGCAGAAAAAGAAATCAGTACATTCTAGACATTTACAAGTATAAATTATAACTAAAATATACATGTAAAAATATATGGCAGGTGACTGCACAGTGTTCTCATAAAATATTCTGTCAAGACCTGTCTAAACCTGTGAAAAATGCAAACTCAAAAAAATATTGAATCAAAAACCTGATACAAAAACATTAGGAATAAAAACAAATATTTCAATATTTATTCTGCTTACATTTTGATAGCATTTAGGAAGTAGTTTGGTTAAATAATATCATAATTGATATTACTAAGTTCAAAAATTGTTTTGGAAACATAATATACATGATTTAGCCCCAGGGACATGCTGATAAACAAACTACTGTTAATACAATTGAGAAAAACAAAATATCAAATGATGAAGTGAAGCATATTAAAAAAAACTGGTAAACTAAATGATTTTGAATATGTATATTAAATTTTACAATATATTTAAATTGTACTTATGTCAGCAAACAATATCTGCCTTTTTCAAATCAAGATAGGAAGAAAATTGATCTATTTGATTTTCTATTTGATTTTGCAGAAACTTCAGAAAAAATTTTTGTTTTCTGTTTTGTCTGCATTTATGTTGTATTAAAATATCTGTTCTTGTCCTAAGTCTATTTTGATTTTAAAACAAATAGAAGATTGCTCTGTTTTCCTGATGCATTGAGATACTTTAACATAAACTTATTACTAGAAATGTTGAATATTTAATTATATTTAATTATAACTTTAAAAAAACAGAGAAAACTCAAGAGTGTTTAGTTTGAATTCAAACAAGTAAACAATTTATGATGGCTTCTATAAGTATACTTATAGATATAAGTATACTCACTGAATATGTATGTATTCAGTGAGAAAACATTGAAAAGTTTCACTTAGAACATTTGTGCTTGGCACATCCTTTTACTTTTTTGATTGAGAATATATACATTTGTGTATATACTATATTTTTAACTCAATGTATATTTTATTTTCTGAATTATTTTCTTTTATTCTGAGTTTGTTTTAATAACTATAGCAAATCATGTGTCTAGATTAAAATTTGCTAACTACATGCAGTTGTCCCTTGCTTAACACAGGATTTGATTAACATGTGAAATTAAGTGTAGCAATTCCTTTACATACACAGTAGAGTTTTAATTAACACAGCTTTACTAGCTGTTTTTACTTAACGTAGATACCATATTTGATTAAAATGACTTTGATATATGCAGTAATATCGAGGGATTGATTAACCATGTTAATCAAGGGATACCTGTATAACTTATAAATTTATATCTTTACACTTTGAAGCAGTAAACATTTTTTTATTCTAACCTGCCTAAGATAGAAAACTTGTTTAATCCAGAATGTTTACAGATTCTCATTGTAGATTTTACAAGTTTTACTATATTTGTAAATTAGAGTTTAATATTTTTTAATGATATAATCCTTGTAGATAGTGAAGATTTATTGTATTTTAATATTTAAGTTTTAAAATTATAAATTATAAATTTATAATTTTAAATTAAAAATTATAAATTTTAAGATACTAAAAATTTTTGTTTTAAATTGTTCATATATATTTTTTTAAACTTAGCAAAGAAACCAAGTTCAAATCTTCCATCTTGGGGTTCAATGAAATCATTACTTAGTACACCTTGTGCACATCGAAGGCATATAAAGTTAGACAATCTTCGTACATTTATTCTTGCCGACAATCAGTTGGATCGACTAGTGCTAATCATTGAGGAAGATATTGGTGATGAAGATGAAAGTAAAATTCAGGAAGCTGACACTGTTTCAACAACAAGTAGAGTAAGAGTGATTAAATATTTTATTTGAAAAAGTTGAAAATACTAACAAAATTGCTGAATTTGAAAAAAATTATAAACTTTATAGAGTAATTTTATAAGATATTGAGAAAATTATAATTTTGATGATTTTCTTAGCAGTTTAAAGTTACATCAAAACATTATTGATTGTTCATTTAAAAGTCTAATTCGACATTTAATTAAGCAAATCTTTTGAAAATGTATAAGTATTGAATTCATAAATTATGTATCAAAATTACAATTTTATCTATAGTTATAAATCAGTTCTGATCTCAGTTTTGATCTCAAGTCCTATTTCTTTTAGTTTTCTCTTCATTTTTTTTCTAATTTATAGTTTTTATGTTGGATGAATTATCAGTATTAATTTATATTTTTAACTTTTTATGTAACTAACATATTTTAATAGTTGATATCTAAAAGAGTTTAATTAAAAATTTCTAGGACTGGACAAACAGACTATACAAATAATAGAAATGAAATTTATTCAACATTATCATCCTCAAAATAATTTTCTGTTATTTTTTTTCTTATATCACTAGCAAGCACACAGTATAATTATGTCACTAGTATATACATAATAATCTGTATTAAATTCCTTTTATGTTTTGATGTGGACTGTATTTGTTTTTGTTAGTTAAATAATTATGAGAATTTTTAGAATCAATATATGGGATTGTCCATTAATTATGACTTTTTCTTAACGTTCCATAATATGCTGCACGTACCCACCCCCAAATTATGTAATGCATATCTTCAATTAAGTCTGTTAATTGTACTGAGTTATAATACACAACATTGGGTACTAAATATTTCATTATTAATTATTACAGTGACATAAACAGTACAGTTTACTATGCAATTCATCAGAAATCAGTCACAATACCACCAAACAGCAAAAATGATTCCTGTCAAAACACAGGAAATCTTTAAATTGCCCAGATAATTTTCATTTATCTGGATTTTTGTTAATCCAGATTGGGTCCAGTCCCATTTTATCTGGATAAATGGAGTTTGATTGTATTTGTAGATAATGGCTTCAGCATTTATAACCTTTCCTTGGTCACATTAAAATTTTATTTAATTCTTTTTATAATTAAATGACTTCTGTATGTTATTCAAGTATAATGATATATATATATATATAAGAATGTGTCTTGAGAGAAAGCATTCTAATAAATTAAAATATGTATATAGGCCTATATTTTTTTTACAAATAATTATCTTTGCGTAACTATTAAATCAATCCTACGATGAAAGAAAGGCTGAAGCGGAGATTCCCTTCATTAAATGATGTTTTCAAGGTCAGTATTTAGTAACGAGGATCAACGTTACAGCAAAGGTCACCTTACATTTTCTTAAATGAGATTTATAACTGACAGATGGATAACTTGTATTTATATTTTTAAATAATTAAGCGTTTTTTCGACTTTTTTTTATAAGGGAAATTATCTTCTAACCTTAAATACATTTGTATTTTTAAAATACGTTATTTAATTTAACAAACAAACACATTTAAACGTTACAACACCATTGAATTTAATGAAATTGAGAATGTAAACTGACTTTTCGCGCTTTGTTTGGGTTTCTATGACGTAAATTTGTTCCTCGTTTAGTTATACCATATCTTCAATTATTTAATGGTAAGGACAATAACCTTTTTTTCTTTTTTAATCATGTATAACAATAGTAAGATAATGCCATTCNTTGATTTTTTTTTTTTTTTCGTAGCAGATAATGAATTTGAACAGAACCATAAGATAATCCAGTATTGTGAATTTCAGTAGTCTTACAGATCTCATTGGATTTTTTCTGAACATATCTGATTGTCTTGAAGTTTTTCCTCAAATAAATTCTGTTTATAACATTTTTTTTTTTTTTGTTATACAAAGCCAAAGCTACCACTTACTAAAAAGTTTGTGGACATAAATGTTTGTAGGCACAAAAATATTTGGAATATTTTTGCATTAATTGTTGTCTTAATATTTGATAACTTTTAATTTACGTAATTTTACAGAGAAAAGTTACATAAATAACTTTTATTTATAAAAATTCTTTGTTCTGTACCAAAAGGTATTTCCAGTTATTGCAAAACGTAACAATAATTAGCTATGAGTTATCACTCTACTTGGAAATTGATGGTGAAGGATGAGTCAGTCAGATATCAGTAAACTTGTGGCATTTCATCAGTCCACGTAATTATAGTGTTTGTTGGAAATATATAAATACTTGAAGCCATATACATCACCATGTAAATTTATTTACAACAATATATAAAAATTCATTTTACAAGTAAAGGTTGGTAGGTTAGAAGATCATGTGTAGGTACATCCACTCATCATGTGGAGAGTAGCCAAGAAGAGGGGGGAAAGTAATGATGGACTGCACGTTTTTATATCCTCATGCCAGCACCACCTGGATTTCCAGATGGGATGCTAAGATCACAATTATTTGGCTGCTACACTCCTCAAGTTAGTTCTGTTCAGTTTTCTTTCCATTTGATCACTTAGCATTAGTGAATAAAATTCACTGATAAAATGTATTTTCTTAAGCAAAATTGTATTTCTCAAATAAAATGTTTAAATAATTGTATTAAAATTGTATATATTTATTTTTAGGAAAGTTGTTCTAGTCGAAGTAAACTACTTTATCCTGCATTATCAATGTTGGATATAAGTAACAATTATATCAAGGAAGTTCCTGCATCCATTTCAGAATTGACTAATTTATCCGTACTAAATATTAGTGGAAATACAGATATATGCTATTTGCCTCCTGAAATGGGTTTATTAACTAAACTTTGGAATTTGAACACAAGATGTTGTAATTTAAATGAGCCATTAAAGAGCATGATTGATAGCAAAAAATATAAAACAATGGATGTAATTGGATATTTGAAGTCCATTCTAGAAGAGTTAGTATATATTGTTTTATATTGAGTAATGATGCAGTAATAATAATAATAATTCCAATTCATAATTTAAAAAGCTATCTATCCATATAATTGTTTTATTGGAGTAATTAATGAAATACAAAAATCTAGAACACTTTCAAATCTTTGTGCTTATTCTCAGGAATTATTAATAAACAGCAAAAATGTAATCAGGAAAATGATTTTGAATAACAAATACACAAAGAAGCTAGATTTTAACTAATTTCTAAACATATTTAGAAGAGTTTCTATCCTGTCTTCAAGGATAATATTAGACTAGAATAGTTACATACATTCTACAACAGAACATAAAATATATATACAAGTTTTATAATTTTGAATTAGGCACTTGAAATTTTCCAAAAGAAACAGCCTTGTTTTCATAAACCAGCACAAAATTTAATGTATAGGATGAACATTTTTCTGCTGGTTTATGAAAACAAGCTTGTTTCTTTTGGGAAATTTAATTTAAATATTGCATTATATTTTCACAGTTTTTTTACACTATAACCATTGATGGAATTTTAAATTAGCTATTCAGAATCATTGTTTCTGATTACATTTCATGCTCTTTAGCTCCAGAAGATGCAAAGAAATATCTGAAAATATTTCTTTGTATTTCATTAATTATTCAAATAAATTATTGTATAGATATTTTCAAAATAATACAGATATATGACTACAACAAAGAATTATTTTTGATATTTAATAATTGAATAGCACTATAAAATTTAATAATGTATGGTTGTCACAACATTTCTACAAAATTATTAATTATGTCTGATTTTTTTTTTTCAAGGTTAATTATCATATCTCACTTTATACAAATACAAATGTTAAAATTAAATTAGTATTTCTTCAGGATGTAATGTGTCAAGAGTCAAATATTTTTATACCATTATATGTGATGTATAATAGCATTTTTACCAAGAAGATAACTTACTGCAGATTTTTAGCAGTTTTTTCTGACCTATTTACTTTTAAATATAATTTATTTAAAGCTATTTTGATTAGTGTCATGATGAAAATGTCATGGCTGTATTATAGGCTTTTGTAATAAGCTACCATGTGCTATTTCATATACTATATGTTTGAGAGTCAACTTATAAAGGAAGTGTAGGTCTAAGCCAGAATTTTAAGCTGAAAATCTTGAAAAGTTAATTTATATGTTGACATATAAAATATTAACAATATTTTTTTATTAAAAAAATAATGTTTATTTTTATCATCATTTTTATTTTGAAATACTCAATAAAAATTTTAAGTCTTAATTTCAGTGCTAAGCCATATGCAAGAATGAAATTAATGATTGTTGGTGTTGAAGGAATAGGAAAAACTTCATTGCTCGATCAACTTCGACAAGAGGGAACGGGGACTTATCGTAAAAAACCACCAGAGGTTAGATATATATTTTAATAGTTTCTATAAAACTTCTTACACCTTTTATTGGATAAAAATTCATTTTTTTATATAAAATTTTCATTAATCTTTCGTTCCATTCTTCTGCATTTTTTAAGGTTTAAAATAAAAATATTTTAATTTCTATAATACAAGTAAATTATTTTAAATTGAATGGCTTAAATTAAATTTGAACTTGAATTACCTAATTATTTTAATAATTTTATCATATCTGAAAGTTTCTAATATCTTCAATGTATTTTAGCATTGGGCAAAAAGAATGGGAAATAAAAATATAAATCAGAAAACGTCTAAAGGAATCAGCATGTCAACTGTAGGAGTAGACGTTGGTGATTGGGTATATGAAAAGAAAGTTAGAGGACAATCAAGCTATGGACCAGTTATTTTCAGAACCTGGGATTTTGGAGGACAGGTAATGAATTTTTAAAGTTAAAATAAATAATTAATGAAAATTACACTTTTTCATTAATTATTTATTCTAATATTTTTTTATTAATTTATTACTAAGTTTCTCTATAAGAAATTTCACATGCCTTTGTGCCAAAAACTTTTTATAAATATGATATATAAAAATAATTATTTTTAATAATGAGCAATTATTTTATTGCAACATTGTCACAATGCCGAGATGCTTTTCACCTCAAATTAGTAGTGTTTTGTCCCTGTACATCATACTTTTCCTGTTAGCAATAGAGTCATTGGAGTCCTGATGGTTATCTACCTAATGCTTTTTAGGGGAAAAATTAGAATTGAAATAACATGACTTCTTATGTAAACCAGAAGTTTGTATATGGTTAATCAGGGCCTATGGTTAATTTTGCCCTATACTTTTCATATATCGTCTAGATGGTCTTGATTTTCATCTAACACCATTCTTGAGATTAAGGACAGACTGACAGATGACATTGGGAATTTATAGGTCTAAATTTTTTTCAAATTGCAATCCAATAATCAAGAACAAAGCTATAGGTGCTATTTTCTAACTTATTCATATTTTCATAAATTTTATAAAAAGATAAAGAGATTTCAGTATACCATTTTTTCATATAATATAATAAATGCATCTTATTTATCTAATTTATTTACTCACTTTTATTTCCTTCAAAAATTTAAAAAGAACATAATGCAGTATCATAAATCAGCATCTAGAGATAGAACTTGAATTTTTCCTTGATTTTATTTAGTTAAAATTGAAGAAAAATAGTTATAGTTGTGAGATAAACAGGGGGTCAGAAGTTAATTAATCTGCACGGGCTGGTAAAACCCAATCTCGAGGTCGTTAGATGGCTAGGATGGCTAGGAGGGCAATTCGAGTAGGAAGTGCATTGGTAGGTCGGCAGGGGTCTGTGGACAAACAAAAGACAGGTTTTAACATAACAAAATATAAAATTTATTATAAACTAAATCTAGAAGATACAGATCTATAAACAGATAAATGCGGTTACAAACTGAAGTGAATAAATGTGGTTACGAATGCGAACAATAAATTCTTATGAATGTATGCTTAACCTAATTTCCCTATTCTAATGCACTTTATGCGGAGAGAGAGTTTACAAGTTCAGCCCCCTTTTCAAATACCTCTCAGGTGTATTGGAGAGTCGATGTGGAGAACTTCATTCATATGGACGGGTTGATGTCATGGATGGGTTTCCAACTGGTGTCTTCTCCTCTTCTTGGATCCAGTCTGGGTTATGGAGGTTCGAGAGATGAAATGCACACAACTACCGATTGACATCCTGATTAATTACTCCCTTGAGCTTCCAGTGACTTTCTCTTTTATCCCCTTGTCATGAGAAAAAGTGTCACATGTTCATCCAATGCTTACGGTTATGGTGCCAAGTTGACACTTATGAGTTAATTTTCCCATTGGATTGTTATGTTAATTGTAACCTCTGCTCTAATTCTTTCCGAATTGTTTTGCTGTCGAATTTGTTTACAAATTTCTCGATAAATGTGTAAAATTGCTAGTTATTAGTTAATAGTTATTGTTTTATTCACACAAATAGATATTTTTAAGGTGCATTTTTGTATTATCAACCTCAATGTGTGGCTGACATTGCATAATCATTATCAATTATCATTATCAGTCTTAACCAGTATGTTAAACATTTTAATCGTTATTTTCTTGCCTGCAATTTAAACTATTGTAATGCATTTTTTTTACATTACTGATGTTAAAACAGTGCTGCAAACAACATTGTACAAATTACTATTAATTATAATAATAATTGTAATTAATATTTTTAATTAATAAATGTAATAAGTCTCATGTTTCATTTTCTGAACAGTAATTCAATAAATGAAACAGAATTCATGTAATGGTCACACCAACCAACAGAAGCATTCTGTTGGTTGGTGTGATCATTATAGTCTCTCAGGTCTTTACCATCTTTCAATGAATGAATGTATATAATGTTAATGGAATTCTCTGCTGGTATTTCACTTTGTTAGACCTGAAAAACATTTTAAACTACTGTAGAATTATCTGGTCTATAAAACATCAGTAAAGTTTTAAAATAAAGTTATATATAGCTAAATGTGTATTTATAATGGATCTCTCGGGATTTTTTCCATAACACTAGTGGGTGCGGTATTCAAATTGGAATGTTGGACTTGCAAAATCTCTGGTTAGGGACAGAGTTTGGTAACATACTTAAAATTGTTTTGAATATGATGCAAGCTTCAGACAAAGTGTAAGAATTAATAAAGTGTTGTTATATATTTAATTTATTCCTGTACATTATATATAATTATTAATAAGTCATAAATTCAAATATATTTTAGTTTTTTGATAAATATAATAAATCTGGTTATTACAAAAAAATAATATCATTTCAGACACTTCTTCCTAATGCTATTAGAAAAATACAATTCAATGTCAGTTTTTTTATTTAATTATTTAAATTAAAATTGTAAATATAAGGAGATTATCATGTCTTAAACTATGAACCTAGATGTTTCCAATTTGGAAAGAAGAGAGAAAGTAAAGGAAGAATTGAATAATGTGTGACTATTAACTTAGTATAAAAAATTATATGTAAAAACATTTATTTCTGTCTCCATTTTAAAATATTGGTAAGAAAATTAAAATATAAGGTGCTTAATGAAGACGTAAAAATATTGTAACACATTCACTACCCTTTTATGAAGAAATGTTCCTAGCTTTAAAAAATTCTGCATAATATGTTGGAAAGAATTATTATATCAGTAAAAACATGCTATATAGAATAATAATACAAAACCAATGGATATATTTTCTCAGAAGTGTACAAATAAACAATAAATAAAAACTTTTTTCTTAAAACAAATAATAAACAAGTTTTGCAAGCATAAAAACCAGCAAACTTTTATGATGTTCATGAGAATGGTTGGCACTTGCAATATTTTAGTGTAGACCACTCCAAGGCATCACCAGCAATGAATGTGTTAAGAATGTATAAAATGAGGATCTGTTAATTTTTTTATTTAAATTATATGCTACCTGATTATTACAATGAAAATTCTATAAAATGCTCAAGTCTTATTTTAAAAATTCAAATTTTCAAGATACTCAATTTTATTAATTAGCATTTTGATATACTGAAAAATTTAGTAATTTTGATTAATGCTTTTTGCTGAAAGTAACATCTTATTTCAAAATAAGAAAGAACAAAATGTAATTTTTAGAGTTATTAAATTTAATTATTAATCAAATGTATGAAAAATAATATAAGTTTTTATTCTGATGATTGTACTTAATCATACGTTATATATTTATAATACAATTTCTGGTTTTTAAGTTTTTATTATGAAAATAAGTTTATAATAATAAAAAATTTCAATAATAGTAATAATAATNTTGAATTGATTTTTTTTTATATATTCTTTTATTATGTTCATTGAATTTTATTTATTCTTCAGTACAATTTTCTTTTTATTTCTTATTCTGAATATTGTGTATAATTGAAAGTGATAGAACTAATATAATTTATAAGTAAAAATATCTTGAAAATATATGCTGAATGTAATGATAATATAATGAATGATTCAGAAGATAACTTAAATGATAGTCCTTTTAATAATTTATTATTATTGATTAATAAGCTATTAATTTTAATTCTTGACAGCAGATGGCCGAGTTAGTTAAAATGTCAGCCAACTGCTCAGATGGTCCAGGATCAAATCTGGGCAGGCTGCCTCAAATTTTTCTTGGGCAATCTATCCCAGATAAATCAAGCTTCATCCCTTACCACCTTGTTAGCCAGACCCACAATTGTGGATCTGGCTAAACCCATAATTGATCTAACTGATTTTTCAAATCATACAAAATGAGGAGGAGACGATATTTGCCACTTAAGTGTGGAGTAGTTTATCAGAGTGGTTAAACAAAACAGCTAAAAATTCTGTGATATTTTAATTTTATAAAGTTTTTCAATAAAATTAACATCAGATTTAAAATGATTACAGGCTCGTGCACCTAATGCTCCAGTTCTTATTGTGGGAACCCATTATGATCTTGTAAAAGAACGTTGTCCTCCTTCATATTCTGAAGAATTACAACAACTTATAAGAGAAAAATTTATCAATGTAGTTGATGCAGATAAATATGGTTTGCCAAGAGTGCTAGATACAATTGAAGTCAGTTGTAAGACTCGTCATAATGTTAAATTACTCTGCAATCTGATCTACGACACAGTATTTGATTTAAAATGCCCTGGTAAATTTTATAAATTTTCATAAAAATTTATTAAATTAATTAAAAAATAATGTAATATGTTGTAAGGTTTTTATAATATTTTATTTTAGGAAGTAAAGAACGACTTTTGGAACAAAGAATTCCAGCTACTTATCTAGCTTTAGAAGATGTAGTTGGAAATTTATCTGTTGAAAGACATTTACAGGGAAAAGATCCTGTATTAAGAGCAGAACAATATAAGTAAGTATAATTTTATAGAATTATTTTAGACAAAAATGTGATTGCTTCTATAAATTTAATTTAAAGGTCAATTAAAATTTCTGGATACTAATATGCTTACTTATTGTTCAGATCATCTAACTAAGCATTTAATTAGATTAATTGTAACCTGTGGATGTGAGCCTTTTATAAATGTTTGTAATAAGTAAAAAATAATTATTTACTTATTTACTTTATAAAAGCATTAGTTTCAACTTTAAGAATGTTTCTACATACAGTGAAACCTGCTAATGTGACCATCTGTGTAAAGTGACTTTGAGCTGGTCCATAAATAACTCCTACAAGCACACCGGGTTGTATAAACAAACTTACGACTTACTTAAGCCTGTAACCGATGCAAAATCGTAAAATATTAACACACAAACGTTTTCGGAACACCTTNCTTAGCAGGACAATTTTCAATTCTATAATGAAATAAATAATATATAAATTTTATATAAACGTTATTTAAAGAAATAATGAAGCTCTTCTTAGCAATGAAAATTTGATTTTCCTCTGTAGCTCTGTCTGTAACATAAACTGCTTCCTGTTTGCTTGATATTAAAGTGAAGGGTGAATTATCTAGAGCCATGGTTCCCAATTAGTAGTATGCATACTCCCAGGGGTATGCGCAGCAATCTAAAATTGGTCAATTTAAAATTTAAATGCATGAGATGAAGCAATCAAAAAAATAATGGGTGGACCATCAAAAATTTGGCAATTTACATGATGTCAAATGCACAAATTCATTTATTTATAACTAAAAATATTCTCGAAATTTCATAAAAAATATGCATTTGTGACAATACCTAAATGAAATTCTTACTCAAGAAACAAAAATTGTACAATTAACACAATTTGTTTTCACAAAATTAATTTTGAAAATTTTTGTCACTGTTATTTCTTGCACGCGACAACGTGACTTCTCGCAGAATATAGCGAGACTTCACTGAGTTTAATAATCAGTTGCGACATCTTGCTTTTAAATCAGGCTAGAATTTATCATGTCAGCGAAGCGGCAATAAAATATTTACTACCATTTTGCACAACATATCTCTGCGAGAGCGAATTTTTGGCCATGACAAACATGAGAACTAAACATTGTCACCGACTTCAACTCGAAGATGACTCAAGACTGAAGTTGACCAAAAAGCAACCAGATTTTACAAGTTGTGCAAAGAAAATCGTGACATTTGTCGCATTAAAATTAAATAACCTTATGTTGTTTTCGTTATTATTAGAATTGTATTTTAAAGGTAATAAATGTAAAAAAAAAAATTATTTTATTTATTACTAGCTGTCTACCCACAGCTTTGCCTACATTATATCAAATTTTCTCGTGGGAGTAAGAAATTTTCTCGCAGTAAAATGTAGCCTATGTTGTATGTCGAAATTTAAATCATATCATTATAGAAATAAATATACAGTCTTTAACACATGTAACCATTTCTTAATTAAAAGCAGCTCTTTCTTCTTTATATGGAATAACATGCCAATACTGCTTAGATTAGTGAGCCTAATAAGGTATTTTCCTTTAATAATACAGTCAAACCTTGGGTTTTGAATGCCTTGTCTTTCGAACAATTTGGTTTATGAACAAAATTTTTAACTCATTTTTGCCCCCAGTTGCCATAAGATAACTCAGTTGCCAAATAAGCTACTCGGCAGAACCATCCATCATGGTCAACTTTCTATACTTTCTGTGTTAAAGAAAGTCGACAGCCCAACCAATCAGTGACAGGACTATTGATTCAGAAATTAGTGGCACTGAGATTACCTCATGTCATGATACGAATCATCGATGACATTGTTATTTAAATTATATTTCAATGCACTTGTGGGAAAGATACTATTTCTGTTTTTTGATACACACCACTGTTGAATTTAAATGAAATTAATTAGTAATTGACATTTATATAATATAAATGGCATTTAAGAATTTAGTTAGAATTGGTTATATTTCATGCNTAAATAAAAGTAAAATTAAAATAAATAAATTAATTGAAATCAAATCAATTGAAACACAATATTTTGGAAAGTGTGGCTAAAGTAGGCTACTTGTCCGTCTTGGTTATAATTTTTGCAATAATAAAATAAATGTAGGTATAGATATAGATAAAGTAATATTATATATATATTATTATATTGCCTTTTTAGGTGTTTTTATGCATAAAATACAGCTAAAATGGTAAAAAAATGTTTTGTTTTGGGAGTCCAGAATGGATTAATTCATTTTACATTATTTCTTATGGGAAAATTTGTTTTAGTTTTAGAATGAACAACTTTTAGGAACGAATTAAGTTTGAAACCCAAGTTTTTCAATATGCTATAAATTTTGCAACTCTTGTAGACTTTGATTTGTGTATCATTAATGTACTATCCTTCTGTAGTACTTCAATAGATTTATCAAGTGTTATCTCAGATAAAACATCATGTTTTTGTTTTATAAATATATTTTGTTTATATGCCTTAATGCTTGTCTTAAATGCCCTCCTAGTACTATTTATTTAAAAACTTATATGTCTGTATAAAACAGGAAGCTTGAAATAGCTTCAGAAATGTTCATTGATTTAAAAAATATTCATTTCTTGGTGTGTACTTTTAAAAAAATGTATCAGAATTTATAACTAAATAATATAATACATACATAAGAATTTATGATGGAATTAATGAAATTTATACCTTAAATACTGATGTAATAATATTTTATCTAATGTGGATAATTAGTTACCATTTATAATTGATTGATTACTTACTTATATTTAATTATTTATATTTGACAGATGAAAATAAATTTTATAAGTAATTTGGATAGATTTTTTTTTAATGCTATACTAAATTTAATGTTCTAAAAATTTTCAATAAATTAAGAAAAATAACTTTTATTTAACATTAATAAACAATGTGTAATTCTTTCAGGAGTGTTACTTCATTATGAAGATGCTACTTTAAAAGACCTATATTTTCTTGATCCTCAGTGGCTATGTGATATGTTGGCTCATGTTGTAACAATTCGTGAAATTAATCCATTTGCAAGAAATGGTTAGTGTATTATTTTAAAGCTTAAAATTTTATTACAAGAAAAGTTTTGTTATAATTGATTTTTTTTAAATTAAGGAATTATGAAAATTGAAGATTTGAAACATGTATTCAAATCATCTCAGTGTGCTCCAACAGATGCTCAAAATTATATTCTGTACTTATTAAATAAATTTGAAGTAGCTCTTACATGGGATAATCGAACACTACTCATTCCATCACTACTTCCAACAGAGGAACAATTGAGAGCTGGCTTTCCTGGATGTGAAGTTAGAGTGAGTAGAAAGATATATTTTATTTTTAATAATATAAACATGACTTCAGAAAACATTTTAATTTATTTTTAAAATTGACATACCTTAAAGCTAGTGTGCATTATTAACTATATTCTTCATATAGAATGGTAGTGGAAAGATAAAAACTTTCTTACAACATTACAGCACAAGGATACACTATTAAAGAAAATTTTCATCCCAAATGTTACAAACCAGAAAATGGCAAACTCAGTCTGGCAAGTAATGCAAATTGATTAGTGTTGGAGATGGCTTTACAACTTACTAATGTGCAACATTTCTAATGATACTGTTTTTCAATAATGTAGCCTTGTGCTGTGATGTAATAAAATTTTTTTTCAATACTATTTCATTTACAGAATTTGATTAATATTGCATGGCAGCTTTAAGATGCATCAATTTTTTTCAATAGTGTTTAAAACCAGTTGGATATTTTAAATTATTAAACTACATACTAAGTAGTAATAATAAAAAACATTCACTTTATGACATTTTCTCCTGATAATATTCTACCATGTTTCCCCGAAAATAAGACATCCTCTGAAAATAGACCTAGCAGAGTTTTGCTGAGTTGCTAAATATAAGGCCTCCCCTGAAAGTAAGACCTAACAAAGTTTTTTATTTCTTGTAACGGTTATCGACAGATGGTTGAAAGTTCCGTTGGCTTTTTGAAAGTACAGCCACTGATTGGTCAGCAGACAATCATGCCACACGGCATGATTTGCATAAGACTTTGGCTTGGGAATCACAGATTTGCATAACATTACGGCTGGTGATTGTTAATTGGTCGGCTGGGAATCACGCCACATGACATTTGCATGGTGCTATGGTTCAGTAAGCACTAATTGGTCATCGAGCCCGATGTCAATGCTATAAAAAGGTTAAGTTGAAGCGTGAGTGGGAAGTCCACTCCAGCAGGGAACTTTATAAGTTCATTTCAGTTCTTGACTTCGGTTTTATTTAAGTTCAGTTCGACACAACCAGTTATACATCACTCTCGTCTAAGTTCAACTTGGGAATTTTTTTGTTCAAAAATAAATGTGAATTCTTCATGGAAAAATAAGACATTCCCTGAAAATAAGACCTAGTGCATCTTTCAGAGCAAAAATTAATATAAGACACTGTCTTATTTTCGGGGAAACACGGTATGCTAATGTAAGATATAAGAAAGAATTTGAATTTTTTTAAAGATTTCTATTACAGAAAAACTATTGAACAGTATTTCTTCATTAATCATCATACACATTAGTATTTTTCATGCAGTTATTTGCATAAATCTCTCAATCAGTCATATACAATAAACTGTCATGCTTTTGAAAATTGAATGTATTTCTTTGAATTATAGTAAGATCCCACCATATGCAGTCTTAACACATGCAGTTTCAAGTTTATGCTATTGGCAATTCAAGGAGAAAAAAAATAGAAAATAAGTAAAATAAAAATTCTTAATTACATGCTAAATCAGGATCATTTTTTAAAGTGTGTGAAACCTTGTAGCATCTTGTTCACTTGATACTTTTGTTACTTGGAAAATTGCTATAACAGTACAATACTTAAACTTTGTATTCTTGTCCCAATAGCTATGCTGGAGAATGTTTTTTGTGATTAATATTTAATGTGTAGGTATTTACAGAAATTAAGCAAACATATCTAATTTTCAAATTCTTGAGGGGGAAAAAATCTTTTCTTCATCTCAAATATAAAAAAATTACCTGAAATTCTTTTTGCTAGATACATTTTTAGAAAGTACATATGTAATATTTTTAAAAAGTTTATTTTATAAGGTTGATTAGTTTATTTTGTAACTTTATACTTTAGTTTCAATGAATTATGAAATGCAACTTTTTGTTTTAAATGAATAAGATTTTGAAAATTGAAAAAACATTTTTTTTCATTAAATAGATACCCTTGAGATCACGAAGTTGGGCTTTGAGGAAAAACTTTACCTCAACAGTATTAACTACAAGTAATACATCTTTTAATTTAGTTTTGAAGAGTAAAGAGAAGAGACCACAAAAACTACCACTTGAAGGAATTTATCTCACAAATAATATATCAAAACCTGAAATTCAGGATCAAGATGCTTCTTGTTTGATGTCTCCAACTTGCTTTATCAGTCATCTAACGCAACATGAAGACATTATCAGGAGACTTCTTATAATGTCTTATTTTCCAAGTGGATTCTGGTCACGTCTTATGACCCGGATGCTAGCAGACGATCTTATTGTCGAAGTTATAAGATCTTACTTTATTCTTCCCAAAGATTTACAAATGGATCCTCTCTTGGCATCCATACTTAATCAACGAGCTGAATGGGTTTGTTGGCAAACTGGAATGGAACTTCGTTATCTTGATTCTACACTTTTCCGTATGAAGGAAATTCTTCCGTATCTAAATAATTCTCCTTGTGATTATCGTCAAATGAGATTTCTTTTACAGCAAGAAGGAGTTTGGAATGATGTAGATATTAATAATTCATCTATTCTAGAAATTCTTCTTCCAAATCAAGTAGCAGTTATTCAAAAACCAGTAATTGGTGATATTACAGAAAATCAAACTACTAAACAGCAAGTTATTGAATTGAAGCCAAGTAAAGAATGTGTAGCAAAATTGCTTTCATTAGCTGTTGATCATGTTGATACTCTTTTAGAGGATTGGTATCCAACTCTTGGTACTAGATTTGTTCATACTTCTGAAGGAAAGTTTCTAGTCACAAGACTTGTACCTTGCACATACTGTTTAGCTACACATTTAAAAGAAGAATTGATGGGAGGAGGATACAATGGAGAAAATTTTTCAGTATTTGATCATCATTGGGACAAGGAAAGTTGGCAAATGGTTGATGTGTCAGCTAGAAGTGGAGGTGAACCATCAATTACAAAGTCATGTTTAGTTTCAGGAAATAATCTTTGGACAGGGGGATTACAAAATAACCAGGTAGACTGCAGTTCTCCAAATATATTTCGTAGAAATCAGGGATCAAGGAGTAGCACCGTATCACATGACAGTGATAGTGGAGTTGGTCCTGACAGTAACAGTTCAAGGTAAGAATAATTATAATGTAATATTAGTAAGACATTTTTTCATGTATATTTGAATTATCTTTCTTGTGCATTTCTAAGTTGTCTGATAATGAATAAGACCAGGAATACTATAAAAATGACATACTATCAGGCTACTCATTAATATGCTGTATTGCTGACATTATTTTAATTTCTCTATATTGCTATTAAATGTTAATTGATGATATTTTTATAAAATAATGTAAAAATTTAATTGAATTATTTTTAAGAAATACATTTGAAGATACTTAATTATTATTGAGAAAAATGAAAAGAATTTAGAAACTAAAAACAACTGAAACTGAAGAAAAATCATTTTAATTTTAAAATTATTATTGGGCGAATTTAATTATTTAATCTGCAATTTATTTTATAAATATAGAATATTAATAATTATTCTGTTCCTACTCTGTATTTAGTACCTTGTTCTCAAACAAAGCTTACAGAATTCTCTCCAGTGAACACATTCCTGTTCTCCATTGTTATTTTCTTTTTATTTGTATATTAATTGGTATATTTGTATATTAATTGGTATATTTGTATAATTTATATTTATATTAATTCTGTATAGATAAAAAAAATTATAATTTAATAATAAGGTACATCTTTTTATTTTAAAGTCGTAAGCCATCAGCAGAAGGAAGAACAGATGATGCTATTAATAGTGATCAAGATTCTTCGGGTCAAATTTGTGCCACAGGCATTGCTTGTGATGTCGTTGTTTATAATTTTATGGTAGAAGATTGTATTTTAGTTGCAACTCAACAAGAATGTCTTCAATGTCCAAGTCATGGAAATTTATCATTAACACAAATTTCTCCAGACATTGTAAGTTACTAATAACAAATAATTTAAAAAATATATATATTTTGTTAGAAATATGTTTTCTTAGTTGATATATTGAAACAAAATTTTCGTTTTTTAAAGTTGTTTTATGAAATTTAAAACTATATATAATTTAGCAAATTAATACAAAATACAGTAGAGCCTCAATTATCTGACCCCCGATTAACCGACACCTCAATTAGACGACCGTCCTAGTCAGCAAATTTCAAATGTCTGCTAGTGATGTTGCGCTACAATATTTGGCTATGTCTTGGCTACTTTAATATTATTTTTACGTGTTTTAGCTGGCAACACTCATTCGACCATGAAAGGGAGCCAGTATTTAAACGAGGCTTAATTTTCTAATTTTTAATGATACAATAGCGATGATTATTATTTTAAAAAATTTTTGTTAGGCTTAACATCGATGAAAATTCAACGCAAAGTAGGTTAATAGCGATATACTAATATACTAATTACATGGGATATAATAATATACTACACTAATAATGGATTTTTTCATACTTTTCGGTTATCCGACTTTTCAATTATCCGACCAACCCCAGTCCCCAATTGAGTCAGATAATCGAAGCTCTACTGTAAAACAATAATTTGTTGTTTTTAATTAATACAACAAATTTATTTTATTTAAACATTCAATTGCTTTTCCTGAGTTACATAGAAATACTTAGAAATGTTTTATAAAATAGGTATTTGTAGATCTTGGTGAGAGATTTCTGATTCAACCTGACAGCATAAGACGTGGAAAAATGTTAGGTAGAGGGGCATTTGGTTTTGTGTTTAAAGCAAGTGTTAAACAAAGAGTAAGTTATTTTATAATTTTTTAATATTTAAAATTTGTTTTTAAATTTATTAAATTTATATTTGTAATTCAAAGGGTTCAAATTCCTGTGCAAATGTAGCAATGAAGATGCTACAGCCAGTTGATCCTGGTTTTGGTGCTCGTCAGTCAGATACAGTTGCATATAAAGTATAATGATTTTGTTTATTTTAATATAAATCAGTTTTTATAATAATATTTACTACATACTTTATATGTATTTTTAAATATTTGCAGGCAGCATGGAACAAATGGCAACGAGATCCTTTACAGTATGCTTGCAAAGCTTATTGCACAGCTCGACAAGAGTTAAATATACTTATGTCACTTCGTCACACAAATATAGTTCCTTTAGTGGGTGTTTGCACGCATCCTCTTGCTTTAGTGTTACAATTAGCTCCTCAAGGAGCATTAGATTCTGTTTTAAGAAACTATAGACGTTCAGGAGCAAGATTAGATTTACATGTTCTTCAAAAAGTTATTATACAGGTATTTAAATTTATTATTAATAATTAAATTATAAAGTTAAAACTTTTTCATAAAAAAATTATAGAATGAGTATATGTAATTAATGTTATAAATATATAATAGATTGCTAAAGCATTGGAGTATTTACATCAGCAACACATTATATATAGAGATCTAAAATCAGAAAATGTTTTAGTTTGGGATTTTCCTCCTCCCTTCCATGCACTTTATCCACTTCCTGTTGTAGAAATTAAACTTGCTGACTATGGCATCAGTAGATCAACACTACCAACTGGTACAAAGGGATTTGGAGGCACAGAAGGGTTTATGGCTCCAGAAATTATGCGATATAATGGTGAAGAAGAATATACAGAAAAGGTAATTGTCATCACAGAAAATAAAAATTATTTTAATTAATTATAACCATCAATTGCATTTCATTAAGATATGCTGTTTCTAAAACACTTTAAATAAAAATTTGTAACATTCACTGCTTCATAAACTTGTATAAAATGAAAACATATACAAACACACCCAAAACCAGTGAAAGAATTATAAATATTTACTGATACAAATGTTATGACATACCTGATGATAATCATTAGAAATGGATGAAAATATACATATCTGTAAATATTTTAAAATCATTTTACTGTTTTGTATGTGTTTTAAATTTGTAAATTTTTTTTATTTTTTGAAAATTATATAATAATGATGTACAGTTACTTTTTACACAATTAACTTCTGTGAATTAACAAACCATTATATAATCAATTATCATAAATTAGAAAAATAGCGAAGTATATATTTTTACAAGGTAATGAATAACGTATATTTTTATATTCTACATAATAACATAAAAATAGATATTACATGTTAATAGATTATAAAATTTAATTATCTTAAAAAATTAAATTTTACATATAAATTAATATTTATAAGTTTAAAATTGCATCAAAAATACATAAATTGTATATTGTTTAACTATTTTCTATGTTCTTTAATAAATTATATGATTAGCTGATATATAACAATGCTTAGAAGTTCTGTGCTCAGTGCAGATAACAATTTGAACTTTAGTTTAGGAAATACTGGTATATTTATTTCTATTATTATTTTTCCTATGTCAAAAGATAATAGAATAATTTTAAAATGTGACAAAATGATAAATTTTCAATTAAACCAATATTAGTAGAAACGACTAATTTGCATATGTGGAATAATATTTCATTACTATTTCAATAGATCTTTAAATGTTTAAGGTATTAATCAAACCAGAAATAAAAACTGTTAGATTTTTATCAAACAGTATAATAGATTTACAAAACACATTTCATTATAATATTTAGTATATATCTTAATATTTGTACTGTATGCATGTTTATCTTAGACTTCTAATATTTTATTATTTTTAAGCTTAAGAACCTTTTTTACAATTTTTATATCTATTAACATTTTCTCTTTATAATTTTTAACTTTCAAGTCTAATCTTTTATAGCTAGTAATAATAATAATTTAGTAAAAGTTAATAATAATTTAATAATAATAATAATGATGATGATGATGAAGTTATCTTAATAATCACATTCTACAGAATACTGTAGAAACTAGGAAAAAAATATGTAAATATATTTTGTGCAGTTTCCCATTTACATTTTTCACTTTATTATTATGTATTCTTTATGAATCTGTGATAATGTGTACATGTAATTCTTAGCTCATAGTAATATTTAATATGAGCTCTTAACAGTAAATGCTGTTATACAGTATTTCAAAAAATNAAGCATAATCGTCGTTATTGTATCGTTAAAAATTATAAAATTAAGCCTCGTTTAAATACTGGCTCTCTTTCATGGTCGAATGGGTGTTGCCAGCTAAAACACGTAAAAATAATATTAAAGTAGCCAAGACATAACCAAATATTGTAGCGCCACATTACTAGCGGGCATTTGAAATTTGCCGACTAGGACGGTTGGTTAACCGAGGGGTCGGTTGATTGGGGGTCGGATAATCGAGGCTCTACTATAACAATAAATTTATATTAAAATGTTATTGTAATTTTTATTCTTATATGTTTATAATTATGCAGAATAGAATATTAAATGTTTAATCATTACATTATCCTTTTTAGGTTGATTGTTTCTCATTTGGCATGTTTATGTATGAACTGATCACTTTACATCTACCATTTGAAGGTCATGAATGTGCTAAAGATCATATTTTAGATGGAGGTAGACCATCCTTAACATACAGAGTAAGTTTTAGCTAAATAAATTTATATATTTATATATACTAATGATCAAAGAAAAAGGGAACTTAAGAAAACTAGTGCAAGGAATTTGATGTCATTACAAGCTACACTTGGTGACACTGGCTACTTGTCATGAGAAACACTTAAATCTTGTATATTTGTTTACAACAAACAACATTTATTTATTATGAATAGCATTAAAAACTACAAATAAATAAGTAAATAAATATAAGTGCTTACCATTATAAGACTGAAATTTAATTCTTTTCATAGATATATGAACAGAATTTCAAGCTCATCTAATCTCTTGAGATAAATGTTTTATTTCATGAAACTCTCTTCTAAATATGCAAATGTTTTGAAGATTTTTTGTCAGATAACTTTGTTTACTGTATAATAATGTTTTTTTTTGTTGAGTGATGATTTGGAATAGTTTTTCATAAATCATTATTTTAATTTTTGGTAAATATTTTTCTTTACATAACTTTTACTATGAAAAATCTGTTTTGTAGTGTAATGAATTTTCAATTATCATGACATTTAATTTATATAACAATAATGAGCTAATGCTATATTTGGAAATCTGTGATGAGTCAATTAGACACCACCAATTTACACTATCTCTAAACTTCCCAAACTGCTTCTCACAAATTTCTTTTTTGTTTGATCATTCAATATAACAAATTGCTCAACTTTTGATTTTTGATTTAGGAAATGTTATATCCAACATATGTCCTTGATCTTATGACTCTCTGCTGGTCACAGCAACCAAAAGATCGTCCTTCTGCAAGTCAAATCGTTTCTATAGCTACGGCACCTGAATTTACCCATCTAGTAGATATTGTTTCTCTTAATGATCGTATGGCCGTTCTGAGTGCTGGAGCAATTGAAGTTACGTCTTCTGAAAGTAAATGTTACAATTTTATAAACTTTTAAATTACTTAGTATTTCCTCAAATTGCATTATTTTCTGTAATAATACTTTTTTAATAGATGGAGATGGAGTAACAAAAGAAGCTAAATGGGAAGTGTGGCTAAGTAGACTAGGAAAACAACTTGATATTTTGTCTTCAACAGAACATGGTTGGAGAGATTATAAAGTTAGTATATTAATATTTTTTTACATTATTCATTTCAAATTAATATTGAAAATTATATGTTATTCTTACAGCTTTATTCATTTGAAATTTTAAGTTTTCTATTTATTTTGTTTTAATTTTTTTTTAAATTTTATATTCTAGGCTTTGACTTTAGAAACAGTCACTGTTACTGCATTATGTCTTGTTAATGACACAATATGGTTAGGTGATTCACGAGGAAAGATTCACATTTACAGGTAATACAGCTTATGCTTTATTTTTTGTTTTATTATCTTCATTTTTTTACACTTAATTATATTTTTTAAAACAGCATTGCATCTCATATCAAATTATCTGGTTTTTCTTTGGAGACAATGGGTATAACGTCATCGGCAATTCGTAGTATGTGTTACTTAAAAGATCAAAAATATGTAGCAATGGCTACTAGTGATGGAAGGTTATGGTTGTGCAATGTTCAAAATAGATGCCAGTTTGAAGAACAAGTGGAAGAAAATACAGAATTAGATAATGTTGCCGATTTTATACAAGAACTTGGTTCAAAGGATTGTCCTGTTTTTTGTATTGCAGCAGTTAGTCTGTCTGATAATAAGTAAGTTATTAAAATATTTAAGATTCTTTATGAATTTTTATATTTATGAGTAAAATTAAATATTTCAGGTGTGAATTATGGTGTGGCCAAACACAAGGAAGCATGAAAATTTTTGCATTACATGATGCTGTTGTCACTTCTCATGAAGTTGTTTACCATTATGATCCAGTAATAGATAATTTAGATGTAACTCAATTAGTTTCAAATAGTCAGAAACAACCAATGATTTGGTCTTATGTTTATCCAGGTATTATATTTATTAAATTTTTGTTATAATAAAATAATAATAATAATAATTTGTAGTATATTATTTAAGATAGATTTAATTGTTAAATTATTAGTAACTTAAAATTAATAAGCCAAACAATCACTGGATTACATCAGGCTAGTTTTTTATGATTATTTGAAATTAATTTCTAAATAATTTGTCACTAGAGGGAGGCGTTAGGTACAATCTCTTATTAATTTTAATAATTATAATTAAATTAAATAATTTAGAAAGTTCTGGAAGAAAACAATCTGCCTAGAGTGACACTCGAACCTGCAACTCCTGCTTACTGTGTAGTCACGTTGCCAATTACACTACCCAAGCCTTTTGACTGATTTCCTCTTCCATACATATTTAATTATGATATAACCATCCTCATTCACTTACGGCACTGTCTGGGATGCCTTCACAATTAAATGTTTTTTATCGAATACACTTACGTTTTATTTTGCATTCTAATTCGATTGTGTATTCGACCTGAAAAAGATCTGTTTAAAATCGAAAGCATTAGTCACTAATAAAATAACTTTACAGCTGGAGATACAAAAGGTTTTGTGGACATTTTTTATTATATTAGTAACTTACAAAACAAAAAATTTTAAAAGTATTTCTGTATTTCAAAAATTTATCTTATATATTTGATTAATATAATTCTATAATGTTTTGAAGACCATTAGATGGCTTAATAATTTTATCACAACCAAATTTTTCATTAATTATTCTAAAAGAAGACAGAACGTTTACAATAATACAGATTTGATTGGTAACTTATTAAGAATAGTGAATAAATATGTATATCAGAAATGCAAATAATATTTCTGACAATCATATATTGGAGAAAGATTAATTAATTTATCTCTGAGTCTTACAAATCTCAGGATTCTGCCAATAATACAAACTAGAATAATACACGGGTATGTGCTGCTTAACAATAGGATTACATTCCAAGAAATACGTTGTTAAGCAAACGTCATAGAGTGTATTTAGACAAACCTTATGTGATGTAGTCTACTACTTACATAGACCCTATGTAACACAATGATAAGTATTTATGAACAGTACCTAGGTGGCTACAAATTTTTCAGTTCTATTATAATCTTATAAGACCTCCATTGTGTGTGCAGTTGTTTGTTAAGTGATATATACCTTTATACTTATATAGAATCTGATTAACTTACAAGGAGAGGTCACAAGTTGTTATATGCATATTTTTTGATAAAATGCTATATGTCTTGTAGATCTCAGTAAGTAAGTAAAGCCATTTGCATGAACAAATGGGCAATACACAAGGAGAAAACTTCAAAAGAAATACATGAATAATTAATAAGTAGTTTGCCTGACAACCTTCATGATATGCAATGTTGTGTAGTTGGTTATGTTTACAGTGCCAGACTCTGATTCAGGTTTGATCCTCCCTTGGTCTCTTTTACTTTTTTGTTTGCTTTTTTTTTATTGTTACTCGATAAAAATAAATAAAATTAGAATTGAATAATTACAGTAGAAGGCATTAGGTTTTAATTTTAATTTGTTCTGTTTTGAAAGATATTTTTAGAATACGGCTGATGTCGAACCAGAAAATTTAGTTTAATGTAAATTTCTGCTAATAAAAAATCTTTCATTATTTCTATAATTATATTTTTTGGATTTGGAGTTATTCCAGATTTAACTGATTACTAATTGATTATTTTCTGACTATAAAATATTGTTTGAGCACTTTTATTGAATCTTTTCTAGTGATTTATAAGTTTTGATGACTGTTAGGTGCACTTTATATTATTTCATGTTTTTTATGGAAGGTAAACATTATCACAAATAACATAATATTCATATACCCATATCTCTTATAGTTTGAAGTAATTATTCTTATATTTGTTAGTATCTGATATCATTTTCTCTTTTTATTCACCAACAAATCAAAAATTTTAATCCATATTTCAGTTTGATTTCTTTTAATATAATTTAATAGTTTTCTGAAACATTTAAAAATTTATTCAGATGTACTTCAAATGTTTAATTTTGCTTAATTTTTTTATATAATTTAAATCCTATTGCTTAGTCTACAGAGAATTAAATAAACATGTTACATATGTAGCTAATAATAAATTTTAAAATTTTATGTTTCAGATAAATTAAGATTAAGTTCTCTAAAATATATTTGTATTTTGTAATAAAAAATTTTTATCTTGTTTTTAATATAAATATGTTGCAAAAAAATAATGTGCCTTAAAGTCAACATGTAATAATAAGCAAATTCTTCACATAGAATGGTACCAAAAGAAAAAAAAAATTATTGCAATATTACAGCACGAGAATACATCATTGAAGAACAATATCTATGAATCAGAAATGTTGCATATTAGTAAGTTGTAAAGCCATCTTTGACATTGATCAGTTTGCATTAATTGTCAAACTGAGTTTGCCTATTTCAGTCTTGTAACATTTGTAATAAACTGTTTCTTATATCAATTTAAAAAAGGATAAAAGTTTTAAATTGACCCAAAATTGTTTGGTCATTATTATTTCAAGATTAAACTGTTGTTTAATGATGTAATCTGGTGCTGTCATGTAATGAATTTTTCATTTGTCACCATCATTTTGTATGTAGAATTTAAGTGGTCTTGTGGTCTCAAAGTTTTGAGCACTGTGAAGGGCTACAGAGCCAACCACAGCACAAGCGAGACATTTTATATCCGTCCTCTCAAACAAAAGTTACCAACAAGCCAAAAAATTGGCCCCGGCTTGTCCATTAGAACAACTGAGGGATGGTAGGGAAAATGCCGCCAATCGACATAAAATAACTTACTATTTTCTCAAATACTCTGGGAAACACAGCATGTTAGTCACAGTAGACCAACGACAAATTAGCATAGAAACATCAAGGGTTTAGGCCAACATACTTCAACATCATACCAGTTCTTTATTCTTTCTTCTTTTTCATTTTTCTCCCATTTACTATTTTCATCATAGGCATACAACCATAACAACATTACCTTCTGTCAACTTCTTTTCTCATATATCCCTTGATGATCAACAGCAATCTAAACATATCAAACATAATATTATTAAATATCAACACATCAATTAGTAGCATCAAATTCACCCAAAAAACCAACTCAAAAACATCAATTAAAATCAAGGAATATTGTCAGTCCCCCCTCCTCCCCGCCAAAGTGATAGTACAGCACAAAGGCAGTAATGGCAAAGAAAACATGACAGTTCACAAAACTTCAAAAACCACCTGTATTTACAATCTCAAAACTCTAAAAGTTCAATCACCCCCATTTAAGATAACATTAAACAGAACCCAAAAATGCACAAATCTAACACTATAAAAACATTAAACTCATTGTTCATCTCGTAATATAGTTCCCACTTGTGCCTTATGGGCAAAATATTGTTCGCCACAACCTTTAAACCATCTCCACCACTCTTTTTTTATTTCTTTTCTCACAGCTGCTACTGGCTCTTCTATATATGCTGCCCACGTTTTGATGTCGTGCTCCTCCCATCCTTCATTTATCAGTTCTATTCTCGTCTTCCTGTACACTTGACCATTGAATCTCGCCTTGAACACTTTCGGTACCTTTATAGAGTCGGTATAGAACCTCGTTTCTCCAGTACATATTTCTGAACTTTTTCATTTGTTTTACTACTCCTTTTTCTTTCATCTCTTGTTCCTCTCCCTCTTTTGTTCCTATTTCTTTTGCTTCCTCTATACTCATTTCTAGGTTTTGAACTACTTCCAACAATTCTTTTCTTACTAATTCTACACTTTTTTCACTTAAAGCCTCATCCATACTTCCTTCATCCTTATCACTTTCTTGCTTCTCTTCCCTCTCATTCTCTACTTCTTCAATCTCATTTCTCTCTTTATCTTTCTTTTTACATTGGTATTTTTTATGACCATATTCATTGCATTGATGGCACTTTACACTTGGACAGTCCCTAACTCTGTGTTCTTCTGATAGGCAGTTTGCACATTGCCACTTCACACCGGGATATTCTATTCGAATTCTACATCCTCGTATCTCAATAAAATTAGGAACCTCTTTCTCCATTTGTATGGTAACATACCTTTTGTCTGTGAGAATATCTCTGTCGGGCAGAAGATAATCACATTCTATGAGGATTACTTTTCCATATTCTTTCATTTTTAATTCTATTTCTTTTCTATCAATTTCGTATGGTACTCTTAACAATTGTAATCTCTTAATTTTTCCTTTTAACGCTCTTACACTCACATTTTTTCCGTGCCATTTCCATTCTGTCTCAAGAATTGCCATTTTCATTGCCTCATCTCTTGCTGTCATTATACATGATCTTTTTGTCATCTCTCCTATTTGTACAATTACTGTCTCATCATCCATCAAGGCTTTTACAAACTCTTTCCAATTTATTTCCTCCTGAGCAACAAATCTCAGAGACAAAGCTCCTACTTCCTGTTTTTCTTTTTCTGCCATCTCTAAATATTAATTTTCTCTCCTATAACACTTATATTTTGTATGTAGAATTTGATTACTACTATCAATTTAAGGAGGATCAATTTTTTTTGGAACAGAGTATATTTCAATTATTCAGAATTTATACTCTTTGCCAATTTATTTCAAAATTATTATGCTCATGCAAATATTGCATTTATTGTTTGATTTTGTAATGTCTTCAAAAGTGTATTTCTATCACAATATATTATTAAAAAAATTTTGTTCAATGTTAATAATATTAATAGTTATGTCTTTCAAAGTATTTAAAGTAAGTAAGAAACATAATTTCACGATTCATCAAATATAAAATACAAGTAAACATTCTGAATTTAACAGTTGTCTAATTTTTTTTTTTTTCTGTTATGTTCAAAAATAAATGATATTTTTAATACTGTTAGAAATTTATTAATATGTTTAATAAGTATTTGATCTTAAATTTCTCAGGTTGTGTTGCTTATCATTGGGATACAGTTAATCGAACTATATTACATAAACTGGATTGTTCGAAACTCGCACCCTGTTCCGAGAGTTTAATGTCTATAAGTATCGAAGAGCACTTGAGCCGTAAGTTTTTAATTTACTGTGGTCTTAAATAACATAAATTCTACTATTATTAAAATGACTTAATGTAATTTATTTACTTTTAACAGCCGGGCGATGCCAAGTGACTGCCATGGCAGTTCTCGGTACAGAATTATATATTGGAACAACTTGGGGTTGCATCATCGTTGCAGAAAGCATTACCATGAGACCCATCACGATCTTTCGTCCTTTTGAAGAAGAAGTGAAAGCCATTCTTCCGCTCGGCATCAAATTCTCTTCTAAAATGGAATCGCCAATCACGCCAGACATTTCTTTATCTTTCATTGCAGCCGTAGGGAAAGGTTACCGTAATCTGATCGGCAGATACACGGCTCTTCCTAATTTTAACATTCACATACACGACAACATGTATCTTCTGCTGATCAGGACAGACAACTGGTCCAGTGGTTGATTGAAGGAAACAAAAATGTCAGATGCATTCCATGTAATTTACAATACTGTGATAATAATTTAATAATAATAATAATGATGATGATGATGAAGTTATCTTAATAATCACATTCTACAGAATACTGTAGAAACTAGGAAAAAAATATGTAAATATATTTTGTGCAGTTTCCCATTTACATTTTTCACTTTATTATTATGTATTCTTTATGAATCTGTGATAATGTGTACATGTAATTCTTAGCTCATAGTAATATTTAATATGAGCTCTTAACAGTAAATGCTGTTATACAGTATTTCAAAAAATATTCTGTCACAGCGTACCTGTTAACTATGTCATTCTAGGGATTTTCAATATTAGATTCTTAGTTATTTCAAAAAATAATGCAAATGTTATTTGTCCAACAAGCAGCTAATTCATGAAAAAAATAACAAAAAGCAATTCTGTATATATATATACATATATATTATAATATATATTTAGTTTATTTTTGCTGAAAGTATATAAATTTAGATCTGAAAGTTCTGTTTTGTATAGTAACTTGTCCACAGTAAACAATTATAAAATCAATATTATATATTGATGAGGACTAATTTATACTCATGACATTTTTCAAATGATCTTGATCTGCCAAATATATTTATTTTTATTTGTTTGGATGATTTCTGGAGTTTAAATCTTTATTATATTTATAGCTATATTATTTTTAGGTTTTGTGTAGAGTAATGGAGATTGTGATCATCCTGTGATATTGTGTTTAAAAAATGGAAATTAATCTTTGAATTTCGAATATTTGTATTTATACGATAGAAAGTTATTTTAAAAATGAATTCGACGAATCAAGCATGAACAAATTGTCCTTTGAAATAAATATGTCATTGCTTGCTGAATTTTAAATGTTAAAACATATTCTAATTTAAAATCTGTTTACTCTTTTAGTGTGAAGACTCGTTGACTATGTATTTTACAAGTTGAATGTATACTATAATATATGTGATCTGTTTTTTTAAGGTAGATTTATAATGAATAATGTTTAATTTATTCCTTGTTATCTTCTTATTGAACTTTCTTATGTAATTGAAAAATTTTCTTTTAACTTAACTGAATTTTTTATTTTCATTCTTTGAAATTGCTTAAAAATAAAATATGTTAGAAATTTTATGTTGTTATAAATTAAATGTATAATATACATTGCTTTTCAATCTACCATGTGGGCACTAAGATGGCCGTTTAAGCGTATGACTGCTTACAAAAATCAAGATAAAAAAAATCAATTAGTCCAAAGACCAACCTAGATGTACTAGGACTTCTCCCTGATACATCTAGGTTGATCTTTGGACTAATATCACGAACTGAGTATTGACCCTGTTCTGCCAAATGGCTCTACAGAGTATAAAGAGACTGTATCTTAATCATAGGCAGTCGGACACCCAGTAATCACTGAGATGTCTGAACAATTAAAATCAGACCGAGTTAAATGCTCTGGCAGTACAACCCAACAGGGATCAGCCATTCTCGCCTTCCTCGCTCTCAAGTCCAACTCTCTAACGCATACATATAGTTCTGTACAGCTTTAAGCTGTTTGACACACACAAGAACTGAGTGATGCTTAACTTGTCGATCTGCGGTGCCACCCAGCATATAGCCGAGCTGTAGGTCTATAGACCTCTTTTCAACGTTCCGTCAAATCTTTTTGGTTTCTTAAGCATTGCGCTTCTGTTGCGGGCCAGGTAGGTTCTAGCCTAACCCAGCCCTAGCCCTTACATTGCTTTACCTACATTGGCCATATAGTAGGTGAGGATCGAAGGTTCCCACGTTTACTTAGAACGAGCAGTGGGCTTGAAGTTAGCCCATTCCGGTTTATATACCGAGCATTAGGTCAAAGACCTACGGTTGTATGTTCCGTCAATTACTTTTTGTTTCGAGCCAACTTCAGTCGATTGCAGGCGGTACGAGACTGGACCACGGCTAGTTCCCTCAGGTAAGAGGGTCAGCTGGCACTCAGACAGGAGTGGTTCGACTCCAGCTGCTCGACACGATTTTCTGCACTCGTTTTGTTGTACGAAAAAGAAAAATTCTCTAAATTCGTTTTCCGGAATTTTTTCCATAAGGGGCTTTACTCAAAACCATTATCTACCTATAAAGAAATCAACATAAATCTTATGGTTTAGTAGACATACTGATAATACAGTGCGATTTAAAGTTCATGCAAACGACAGGCGCTTCAAAATAATGACGTCGCGCGTCCAAAGACACAAAGTAAATTAAGACGTCGGCAAGTCAGCCGAGCCACACTGAGGAGACACTTTACGATCGCACCATATAATCCATATCTAGCTAACATCGGAGAAGGAAAGATTGCCTATTCAGAATATAAGTAAAATGCGCTGTTAGTAGAATTGCAATTGCACAGTCTAAACGAAGTAGGCCGGATAGCCGAGAGGTCAAGGTAACAGCCTACCGCTCTGGGAGACCCGGGATCGAATCCAGACTGGGTCGAATAATCCCCAGAATTTTTTCGGGAGTGATCCGTTCGGATATGTCGGGCCCCGTCCTCCCATTCTGGGCCTGGCTGTACCCATAATGGACTTGCAAAGAAGAGGCCCTGTTAGTGCCCACAGGGCGGAAAGAGTTAAAAAAAAAAAGAAAGGGCGGAAAGAGAAAAAAAGTCTAAAAGAAGTAAGGGATAGAAGAGTAACCACCACAATCAATATATAAATTATATTAGCATAACGAAAACTTTTATAAAGTTTAAAATATCCTAAAACTGTTTGAGAAGGAAAACAATTCTTGACGAACGCATTTTGCTTTTCAACTCTTTTTGAATAACTCTATAGAGTTTCTATTTTGTTTAATAGTAGCATGTTAATGAAAAATGTCTTATAATATTTCGGTGTAGATGATAATTAAACTAGAAATACCGTGTGTATTATGCAAAAAATGTATATACAAATTTCGAGTCTATACTGCTATATAAAGAAACTTATATAAGATTTTAGTATCAATACTTAGATGTAACGAATAGAGTAAGGTTTGATAGAAACGGTGGGAGAATTAACTTGACGGTAATAATTTTTGCATAATTTGGCCACGTAAAATGATAGGTTATATTTGTGTGGAATAGAAGGCTTCATTTAGTTTTTTTTTATTGTCGTTAAGCAATTGTTATCATTGTTTTGAAATACATTGTCGTTTGTATTATTGAAGATTAAATGACAATTTTTACAATAAAAATGTGGATTTTAGGGAGGTTGAAAAGGGATTATATTGTTGTGGACCAGAAAAATTAGTTACGAAGTGCGAGAATGTGTGTGTGTAAGAAAAAATGAAACGACGCGTGCGAGGGACTAGAATTCGGTCCAGTGCATCGTTTATATTTATATTATTTCTATTCTTGATTTTTTTTGGTGGAGTCGAGGGGGTTCCTGCAACGGGACAATGGATCGCCGATAAAGCAAAAATCCTAAAGACGGCCCGGAGAGCTGCCCAGCTGGAAAAGAGACCTGCAGGGCGTAACCATATCTTAAATTAATCCGGATGTAATCGTCCTACTTCGAGTTCAGTGCAGGGCGCCAGATCCGCCCAACGAATAGACAGTTGTCTCGTGAACCCCCGACGAGCAAATACTCAATGGATTATAGATTGTAAGCAGCTGGCATAAGGAGACTATTGTTGACCTTTGGCTTTTATTAACAATTCCGCGCATTCATTGCTAGTGTTTACAACAACTCTAACCATTTATTTACAAAACAGCTTCTCAAATTTTAAAACGTTTATTTGAAATCCATCCAAAGAAATTCTATATACTTTTAAGAATTTAAAAGTATATAGGCCCTACAGTAGTTACTTTTATAAATCGTCTTAAATTTCGCCGTTATCTCGCCATCCATTAACGAGTGTTAGCATTCAAATTTCTATTAATATTTAAAAATTGGTTTTCAATCCACAATTTCCTGTATCCGTGAACACTAATGTTGCTTGCATTGTTTTCTTCTTTGCGCTTGTTTCACTTATCAAGCATGATTCCAACGACGTTCCAAACGCCATTGTCAAACTTCTAGGCTTACAAGATGGAGGTGCTCAACGTTCACGTTTTAGAGATGAAAACTTCGGCAGCAACCTTTCTACTGTTTCTTCCACCGTCAAGATGGCGACTTTCATCCTGCACGCACCTATACTGGCTTCATTTGATTCTAAGGAGTTGCAGCTCCAAGTTATCAACTGCATATTAATACCATCTTCGACATCATTTCGGATGCGCAAAATTTACAATGATATGAATTAAATAAAGATAAATAATACGGTAAAATTAGTTTATTTCTTAAAAGAAAATGGCTGTTGTTAAAAAAAAAAGTACTCGAAACTTAATATTTGTTTATTTCAAATATTATTTTAAAAAGATTATAAAAATATATATCAGAAAAAAAAAATCATTAAAATGTTTAGCATAAAATAGTTTATTTTTAATACTGCACATTTATATAAAAAATATAAATTTATAATAGTGCAGAGACAAGATCATAATTCGGCAGATTTTGAAATCGTTTCTGGAACAAGGGCCGGTAGGATTTCAGATTTTTCTTCCCACGTGGCTATTCCGTAAGCTTGTTTTCCTTTCTCTACAAAAAAAATTAAGTAATTGATGTTATATAGAAATAGTTAAATCAATAAAATGTAAGCTTAATCAATAAAGTTGTTTTTAATTATTTATTTTTCAATTAATTACCATCCAAACAAGGTACTCCTTGTGTGCAGATATGATTTAGAGTTTCCAGATTGTCTCTACGACGGGGCTTTGAAAAGGAAAAAATAGAGTTAACAATCGAAGATTTTCAGTAATTTATCATTTATCGACAATTTAAAATTTTATATAAATAACTGATTTCTCAAATTTCGGAACCGGATTAACTACAGTAGACACCCCCCTATAATACTGTAGATAATTCCGTATTATATGAATTCCATGTTGTACGATTCACTTAGATTTTACAAATACGTGTGCCGGGCTGTGAACGGCTCACGTATTTGTAAAATCTAAGTGACTCGTATAACATGGAATCCATATAACACGGAATTATCTACAGTGTAATAGGGGGGTCTACTGTAGTCTAATTTTTGTGTTTTCAACTTTTAAATTACTACTCCAAATTTAAAAATTATAGTAGCCTATTTCACACTTAAAACAACGGAACAAACAAGCAATGGTAGTTAAAACCCTTATTTTTTAACTCTTCGTCCTGTGGACACTAAGAGGACTTCTTTTAGCAAGCCCATTATGGATCCTGCCAGGCCCACAATGGGGAGGTCGGATGGATAGGGACGGAACACGATATGTCCGAACGGACCACCCCGAAAAATTTCTGGGGATTTTTCCACCCAGTCCGAATTCGATCCCGGGTTCCCAGATCAGTAGACTGGCACCTTGATAGCTCGGGGATCCGGCCATCAGTTAGAATAATTGTAATCAATGCAGAATTCTGAAATTTAGATAAATCAGCTATTTATTTAAAATTTTAGATAAATCAAATCCTACCTGTGGCATTCTATGAATTATACACATTAAAATAGCACCCAAAATTGGAGGAATACCAGCTGCTATGAAAGCTATTGTATAATTTCCTAATTTATCATACAGCAATCCTATAAAATTACATATAATGATTAATTATAAGTGAAAGTCTGTTAACAAAATAGATTCTAGAATAGATCTAAAAAGTCAGAACTTTTATATAAGTTCACAGTTTTATGATTATTCTCCCATTAAAATTTTTTACAAAAATGTAAATGTTCAATGTATAAATTCCATATAAAAGTGCATTTTGGTATTACAAAAGATTAGAAATCTTAAAAATTCTCTGTTTTTATAAATTTATTTTATTATTGTACAGTTAATATACATTTTAAAATAAAATATTACCCGCTACTGGAGGTCCAATTGTTAATGGTACTGACACAAATCCTAAAAGAGATCCTATGGCTTGAGAAGCTGCTTTATGTCCCACGAGATCAAATGCAATGGGGCCCAATAATGATATGAAACAGCCATCGCATAAACCAAAGAAAAGGCACATCACTACTAAAATTATAAAATCTTTTGCTATAACCAGGAGCATGGTCAAAA